ATTTTCAGCAGCTTATGACACAATGCACGAAAATAAACATTCTAAGCACAGCGTTGTGATCGTACGCTTCACAAAACAGCCAATGCTGATCACATCGATGTTATATTACGCATTAAAGGATTAAAAGTGTTAATTGTTTCTTTCATTATTCAGCGGTTCCTCCGCGTACCACTTGGAGGAAGCCCGCGTACCACTAGTGGTACGCGTACCACAGTTTGAGAACCACTGGACTAAGCCGAAGGAAAATAATTGAACGACAGCAGAAATCTTTGTTGTCAAAAATGAACCAGGGCTTTAAATAAAAATGCTATTGAAAATGTATAAGTCGCATATATATTTAAAAATTTTACATAAAAATCATTTGACTTCATAATATGATATTTGAAATTTCTAAGTATCTATAGTATAATATCATTAAATTAAATGAACAAAGTGATTTTATCTACAAATTTAATATTATATTATTATAAATGAATGAATGTAAAGTGTCTAACCTTTCAAATAAGTTTTATGTAAACAAAAAAGTTTAATTATGGATGAAATAATTTTCCGTCATCATTCAGTGTAAATGATTTTTTATTATAATAAAATAATACTTTACATGGGGCGATGCAGTGGCGCTGGCGCAGTAGGTTGTACTGTCGCCTCACAGCAAGAAAGTCGCTGGTTCGAGCCTCGGCTACGTCAGTTGGTGTTTCTGTGTGGAGTTTGCTTGTTCTCCCTGTGTTCTCCCTGTGTTCCTCTAGGTGCTCCTGTTTCCCCCACAAGTCCAAAGACATTCGGTACAGGTGAATTGGGTAGGCTAAATTGTCCGTAGTGTATGAATGTGAATGAGTGTGTGTGGATGTTTCCCAGAGATGGTATGGATGGTGATATCTGATCTGATTCTCAGAGATGGTGGATGTTGGATAAGTTGGCGGTTCATTCCACTGTGGCGACCCCAGATTAATAAAGGAACTAAGCCGAAAAGTAAATGAATGACTGAATGAATGAATAAATAATACTGTATATATACATATTAATGATATTTTAATAAGGTTGTAATATAAAATATAATGTTTTATAATGGGCGGCACGGTTGCGCAGTGGGAAGCACTGTCGCCTCGCATCAAAAAGGTCGCTGGTTCAAGCCTCAGTTGGGTCAGTTGGCATTTCTGCATAGAGTTTGCTTGTTCCCCCCATGTTCACTTGGGTTTGCTCTGTGTGCTCCGGTTTCCCCCAGAGCACAAGGGCTTTATGGAAAAATTCTATTGAAAATGTAATAAGTCACATATATATTTAAAAAGTTTATATGAAATATGTTTCATATTATTATATTTTTTAGCTGTCTATTAGTGGCCGAGAGAGCTTAACATGCTACAATTCAAGAAAACTCCTGCAATTACAAAAAATGCCAGCAAATTGAGAAAAGATATTCATCAGTTCGACAGCACACGTGCTGCAGATCCTCAAAGAGCAAACAACACAAAAAGAACGGAACTCTAAATGTTTCTAAAGGCCCCAAAACATGACAGATGCTGCTGTGCCATGACTATTGCTCTGTGAAGTTGTAGGGGTCTTTGAAAGGTGAGTTTTTTGTTTGTTTATTTTAATATCTCGATTCCAGTGTCTTATATTGTATCAGTGTCTGTAGCTTTATTAGCCTAAATAACCATAACCTAAATAGCCAGGTCCGTCACATTGTAGGGTCTCCTTGAAACATTTCAACTGTGTTGTGAGAAAATGCAGCACGATTTCATAAGTTGTTTGTGTTGTGAGAAAATGCAGAGCGTTTTATTAATTTGTTTGCGTTGTGTGAAGATGCAGCGTGTTTTTTTTTTTAAATGTGTTTGCGTTGTGAGGATTTGCAGCACATGTGCCATCAAAATGATGATCTTTTCTCAATTTTTTTTTTTAATTGCTTGTGTTTTCTTAAACTGCAGCAAGTTAAGCTCTCTCAGCCACTGTAATACGTTGATAATTTGGTATCTGCATCAAATTTAATGAACAAAGTGGGTTTTATATTATATAATTATAAATGAATCAATTTAAAGTGTCTAATAACTTTACACAACTCTCAAATAACTTTTACAAAAACAAAAATGTCAAAATATGGGTGAAATAATTTTCCATCATCATTCTTTAAATTAAGTAATATTATACTAGTAAATATTAATAATAGTTGAATGAATTTTTAATATAAATATGATATGACTTAAATGATTAAAAACTTTTACATTTTACAAAACTGGTAAATGTTTCGTGTGATATATGGGTTGGAGTGAGGGGACGGAAAATACAAAAGCAAATCATTATATCTTTGGGAAGTCCTCATAATACATGAAACCCAACTTAAGTGTGTTTGTATCCATGCGTATGATATTGTTTTGTCCTGAACAGTGACTGACATGCATTGGTATGATGCCAAAGGTTTGTGTGTCTACAAAAGCATCTTTTGGAGGGCATGAACATGATTTTAGCATGAAGCTGGCACCATCTGTCTGTGGGACTCACTATGCAATGGCACAGTGGCAGGATGTCCCGAAACGCCATCCACATACACACAAGCAGGGTTAAATGGCCAATACACAGATGTCTGCCAGGCTTTGTTTTTTTTAATTGGATAACCTCTAATAAAACACAAACACTAAACATGATGTTCTGAGGGCCGATAGGATGAAGTAATCAAAGAGGCTTCAGGCAATGTCCATTCATGAAAATAACTGTCATTTAAGGGAAAGTAAAAAGACAGAAGGAAATGTATTTCATCACTTTTTATGCATTTTATTTTATGATAGAAAGAAGGTGATATGGTATTACCATGATGCAGTGGTCAGAAGACCAAATAATAAGGTACTTTGGTGAGTTGTAAAACTTTGTTTAGCTGACTGACTACCATTTGTTTAACAGCAACTTTACTGCAAAAACATGTTTAAACTGGTTAGTGTAGCAATTTGCGTTTATTGTGCTTTACAATAACCATGCTTTAAATTATTTATTTGTAGTAAAAACACTGTGCATTTGTTTGAAAAACATGTCCTTGAAAGTTTTTTTTTCAGTCTAATGGAAAGAAAACATCCAAAATACATGTTAAAGTGCACTGAAAAAAATGATGTCTGCAAAATTGTTGCAAACTAGTTATATATGTTGAATTTAAACACATTACTTAAATTTAGTAATGTTCAACTTAATTTATTTATTTAAATTCAACCTAAATAAATAGTTTACAACCACTTACAAAATGTAGTGAATCCAAGAAATCATCGGTGAATCTTTTTTTCAGTGTGTATTTTATATCACATTTTATAAATTTGTGTCTGAGTTTATTACAATATATTTAAAGGCCGTTTTATTAAAAAACATTTACTGCACTGAGCCATAATTTCCACTTCAGGTGCACTTTTATATCCAAACTCTACATTTTTTTTTTTTTTTTTTATGTATAAGGGTAATTCTTCAACTATGGGCACTTTTATGTCCTTTGATCATATATCCAAATATATATATATATAATTTTGTTAAAATTCCTTTTTCTTTGTCAAGCTAATAATAAAACTTACTTTTAAAAAATTTACTAGCTCTCTATTAAATTTTTTTCATATTATTCAACCTCCTTTTAGGTGTCTAAATCCCTGTTTTCACCTTATCGCACACCCAGAGTTTTAAACTTTAACAATAAAAATAACACTTTAAAATATTATTTATCTGTAACTATTAATGCATCTTAGTTAAGCTAGTGAAATAATTGAAATATTTTATAGTTATTAATGTGAGATTATTATTAAAATTATTTTTATTCAAAATATAGCTGTCGTACAGTATTAGTGTAATTTCCACCACAACATTGTAACTTCGCTTTAAAAAGTTTGTGTGAAAGAGTATTGAGGTGGATTCCATGAAAATGAATAGTGTCATCTGAGAACATGTTCAAGATGGAGGGAATTTAAATTATCAACAACACTTGAAGAAAAATTTAGGTAAATATTGCTTGATAAGGAAATACATTGATTCTACGTCGTTTCCTAACATGTTGTACCTTTAAAGATGTTTTTAAAACCAAATAAAATGAAGGTAAACAAGTGTTTTGTATACATGAAAGACTAGTATCAATTCAAAGCTAATCGGTGAAGCTATTTTTCATTTTTAAACTGTTGAAATGTCATTTCCACCACTGTCATTTCCATCACCACATACATTTTTTACAAATATTTAAAAAGTTCTCATCACACATAAAAGTGTATTCAATGTATAAGTTAATGCTCTATTTAATTGACAAATTCAGATTATTTATTTACTAATAAACTCTTAACCAAATTAATATAAGTTTTAGAGTAACAGGTGTAAGTCAGCATACAAATAATTTATTTAATTGAAAAATGTATAATTATTATATATATTGTGGAAGGATTGGTTAAACTTGATACAAAATATGATCTTAGACAATGTTTGATTGCCATAATTTATTTCATTTTGAAGCTGTATATTGAGATGTGTTGGAATTGACATTGTTTATTTCACGATAGAAAACAACTTTTCTCTTCTTATCTAAGTTTGTCCTCTTACAGATCTTAAAACTAGACAAACTGTTTAAACGTATGAGGCTATGTTACAATTATTTTGAACACATTTTTTTACTCAATTTCACAAGGCTAAAAGTGCCTGTAGTTGAAGAATGGCCCATATATACTATAGATTGTTTTTACAGAGTTCAGAGTTCATACACATTTTGCCTCATTATACAGAACATTTTATTCAACAGAATTTTGGCTCTAATATATCAAACAAACAAAACCAAACTAAAAAAAACAAACCCAAATCTGGTATGTTCATTAAACTAACACGTGTAATACAAAATCTGTTTGCAATTCCTAATATAATCAGTCGACTGGGGAGGTTTAAAGTTCTTTCACTTTTTTTTTACCCCATTCAAGTGTCTTGCCTTAAAATATGTTACAATTGTTATCATTGGTCGGTCGATGGGAGGAAAAGTGATAAATACCGTTTTGGCGCCATCTGTCGTCGAATAGTATTAGGGAGCCTCTCAGAGTCGAACGATGTTTCTGTGTGTAACACTTTTGCCTGATTGGTTCGACTGTTTGTTTCGACGCGATGGCGGCAGATGTGATCATGTTTGGTTCCTCTGTGTTGTGCTACCATTGATAACTAACAAAAATGGAAAAAAAGAAGTTTAATATCAATTTGGACGATTCAGCGTTCTCAAAGGACAGAAGTCCGGTGGGTTTTGATGTCTTTCTATGATTAACCGACTAACGTCATAGTGTTTTGTTATAACTCAGCTCAATGTCTTGGTTGTTTTTATATTTTGTCTGGGGGATTTATGTAAAGTGAACTTTACCCCCGTGCAGCATGTGGTAGTAAACCAACCCACAAACACTACTGGAAGGACTACTTTCACACTTCAAGCTTACCCGCAAAGTGTTGATTTCTCAAATAACAATCTTGCACGCTGAAGTCAATTCCCAGAAGTATTCACAACCACATTTGATCGTTCATTTGATTTGTGTATGGGTCTGAAATTGGATCTGAAATTGATTAAAAAATAACAATAATAGAGTTAATAATTAGAGGCAGTAATGATAGTAACTGGTGTGAGTTTCATGAATTTAACCTTTTCCTTACAGAAGAGAAATAAATAGATAGACTTTAAATACAATACCGATTAACTTAAGTAAATTGTTTAATGTGTGGTTAAGTTTAAAACAGCAACAACAATTTTATGTTTCATGTAACCTAAATGTCTGTTTAAAACCCACCAAAAAGCCTAATTGTAGCCTACAGTTAATATTATTATTTCACACTTATTTTTAAACCTAGTGCGTTTTAAAATGCGTGTCACGTCTTGTCCGTGCTTTAACTAAATAATAATCATTTTACGTTTTAATCAGTTATGGTCTTTGACTTTTTTTTTAAAATGTAGACTGACAATCCTAATGAAAGTCTACGAAGGGGTGCATTTCTCGGCACAACACCTGTTAAGGAAACACTTAACATTAGTAGTTAGTCTGTCTTCGGTGTTGTGGGACATTCTTTGATTATTTACTAACCTTTTTTATCTTTGTCACACGATCCCTTAAATTAACGGATCAGGGGTTTTATGGCGAGAACTTTATACATATTTCCCATTTTATTAAGTATGTATTTTACCTCTTAGTAAACAAGTAGGTAACAACATGTTGAAATTTAACTATTAAAATTTTTCTGTCTTTAGAAGATAATCATTTTCACAAAATACTTTGTTCAAATCATCACAGTATTTACATTAATTCCATACACATTTCATTTGTACTTTGAATGTTTCTGTCTTAGACTAGGTTAAAACAATATTATATATACAATTGAAGTCAGAATTATTAGCCAGCCTTTGAATTTATTATTATTATTTTTAATATTTCCCAAATGATTTTTAACAGAGCAAGGACATTTTCACAGTTTGCCTGATAATATTTTTTCTTCTGGAGAAAGTCTTATTTGTTTTATTTCGACTAGGATAAAAGCAGTTTAGAATTTAAAAAAAAAAATGTCACTTTAAGAATTGTCTTGTAAAATCATCATGGCGAAGATAAAAGTAATCAGTTATTAGAGATCAGTTATTGAAACTATTATGTTTAGAAATGTGATGGGGAAAAAATCTTCTCACCGTTAAACCGAAATTGGGGAAAAAATAAACAGTGGGGCTTATAATTCAAGGGGGCTAATAATTATGTGTTTTTATTATGTAATATTATTTATGTAATTAAATTTGCTGCATTTTAGACCTAGATATCTAATAAAGTCAAAATATACTAAATAATTTCAGCAACTGCTTTAATCTGACCTTCATAAGGAATTAGTTGCAAGAAATCTGTGAACTTTAGTAATAAAATAAAAAGCCATGTAAAATTGATGTGACAGTGAAATTTAACATGTAATCTGTGTCCTTCACACAGGCGAAGGTGTCTTTGTTCAAATCCAAAAATGATCACGTAGAGGCCTCATCTGTTCCAGCTCCTGGCCAACCACTGTCCTATGCAGAGTTTGTTGTTCAGAACAAACACAAGGGCCATCAGGGAGCCCATGGATCAGAGAAACAAACATCTGCTGCCCAAAGTAGAAATAACGCTCCAGGACAAAGCAGTGCAAACATAGCTGTAATTGAATCAGTTAATACGTCCTCCACAGACTCAGAAAAACCTGAGACTGAACAGCAGGGTCTATCAGAGGGACCTACAGAAGATCAGACCAAAGGGGAAGGTCAGAGTTCAGAGAGTTTTGTGGTTCCTCCTCATCTCTTAGGATCTGGAAACAGTATTATTGTCAGTCCTCGACAGGTCAGTATCTTGCATGCACATTTTCATCTTTAGCATTGTATTTTCGTTTATGTGAAGTAGCATAATATGAATAGAATAATGAACTTAACATATTCACTTGGTTCTTTAATTTTGTGTCAGTGTGTTACAAACCCCGGATGTTAGTCTAGGGAATTGGGTTTGACATTTATGTACAATTAAAATAAATTTATATTTACAGTAAGTGAAGTGCAAAAGACAACCAAAGCAGATATACCAAAACTGTGATTTTTATTTACAAATCCCAAGGTTAACAATAACAAATAATCAGAAATAAAGAAAAAGCAAAAATATACTATTTACGATATATACAATATTGGCACAAAGACGGAAAAACAAGAGAGTGGCAGAAGGGATGTTGGCAGCGCTAAAGAAAAGAACAAAACCCAAACAATGTCTAACTCCCCAGAAACATCCAGCTAACTAAGTAAAAGAAAACTAAAAAAAATAAACACACAAAGAGTCTTTCAAGCCCTAAATATCCTTCTCTATCTATTCAAATAGTACAAGGGGTGGCGCTCACCCCTAACCTAATTAGCTAAAGAGAATTATGAGGGAGTCTATATCTATACAAATGATCTCACCCGCTGATTTACTTGTTTTCACTTAAATGAAATGCATATTTTACTTTTGAGACCAGGCCTGACAAAACTGTATTTACTTGATGCTGAACTTATAACTCTAGGTTGACTCGATTGAAGAATTTTTAAGTCAAGTCTAGCTTTTCTGTCATTTCACTACCTGTGTGGACATACAGAGAAACAAAATGTCTTGTCCCGCAGGACAATGGTGCTACAGTACATAGATGAATCATAATTACAAACACAACACTGGACATAAAAGCCATTTACATATACTACAACATAAACTATGAATAAACTTAAACTTTACACATAAGACAGGCAATACAAGTACTTTTACATAAGACTGAACAATGCCACTCAAGCATTGTCAATCACTATATATATATAATCACTCACTATAAAACATTTTTTGTTAGAATATGAAACTTCGAGGACAGCTAGACAAGAATTTTATACAGAGAGTACTTTGATGCATGTTTAAAAAATTATTTATTATGTATTGAAGTGAAATCATATTAATGTCCAGATTACCACATTTATTGTCTCTATTAGAAGAAAGGGATCTATCTATCTATCTATCTATCTATCTATCTATCTATCTATCTATCTATCTATCTATCTATCTATCTGTCTGTCTGTCTGTCTGTCTGTCTGTCTGTCTGTCTGTCTGTCTGTCTGTCTGTCTGTCTGTCTGTCTCTCTCTCTCTCTCTCTCTCTCTCTCTCTCTCTCTCTCTCTCTCTCTCTCTCCCCCTCTCCCTCTCCCTCTGTCTGTCATCTATCTCCCTCCCTGTGTGTATGCGTGTGCGTGTGCGTGTATGTGTATGTGTATAAATAATATGTATACATAATGGGACCCTGTATTTTAAGCCATATTTCATCAGTTCATACTCCAAAAACACTTCCCGAGGATCGGATAAAATCTTGTTGGCTTGCTGAATCATGCTTGACTCAAAAGTATCTTGTAAAGAACCAAGTGTCTGAATTACTATAATTGTTCCTGGCACGCTTATCAAGTTATTTGTTTAATTTCTCATTTTTACTGTTACATTTTCAAATCAAACAATGATTCGGTATCTTAAACTGACTCCTGTCACATCATCCAGTTTTTAAATGAAGGTTTCTTATTATTAAAAACAAAAAAACAAAATCCAAAATCACATAGCCCTGTATGAAAATGTGTATGAAAAAAAGTATGACAAAATGAGTAAAAAAACAAACAAACAAATGAAATCTATTGGGGGCAAACACTTTTTCACACCACTGTGTGCTGTTCTTGCCATTAAATAGTTATAAGTTGCTGACATGGCACTAAACAAACAAACAATGTTGTTGTATGTTAATTAGCTGTTAATCTAACATTAAATCAATGTTATTTATTGATTTTTTTTTATCTGTCTGCAGAGGGGCAACCCTATCCTGAAATTTGTGAGAAATGTTCCTTGGGAGTTTGGAGAGGTGGTGCCAGACTATGTTTTAGGAAGGACAACATGTGCACTTTTTCTCAGGTTGGTTTTTGAGTCAATGAACTGTACCATTGAAAAGATGAATTCTTAAAAAAGAATTTCAATCAATATTCAAATAATTACAGAAATCAATTGAAATAATTTGTTCAAAAAAAAAAAAAATATATATATATATAAATATAAATCAACAAAAAAGCTAGCTGTCTGTAATTACACACCACGATAATTATGGATGCACTGTTTTTACTCTGCTCATTTGAGGTCAGTTGCAAATCAGTTTTTTTGGCTTCTAATACACTGAATCATGGAGGAAAAAATGAATAAGCTGCAAATTTAAGTTTAGGGTATTGGCACATGTTTTATAACTATAGCCTTTACTCTGCTTAGTTCAACATTCCTCATTTTTAAGTTTAAACTGAATATTTGAATATGTATTTTATGCTTACACAGAATCATATATTTATATTTCAAATACTTGAATATTTGTTTTTGCATGTGAGACTTTTTTTATAAGACTTATTATTGAATGTCTGTGCAGGTGTCATCACAACAGGAAACGTTTATTCTTGTTAAATGTAACAACATATTAAGTGTTCTGAGTGTTACAATGCAAATATAAAAGCCTGGCTGAAAGCAAGAGTAGAGGCACTTCAAGCTCATTTTTCTATTGGGTTTGTCAGGTGTGAAACCACAATGTCATCCAACATGCTTTGCAAAGAAAGAAGTGAGGATTCCAGCAAGCAAACACACTGTGGTCAACAGTTGTCATTAGTATGACAATAATGTCTAATCTATGTAGAATCAACTGAGAAATGCAAATTAACCTAATTATTGAAATTACTTTGTGTGAGTGTGTGTGTGTGTTTGTGTGTGTGTGTTTGTGTTTGTGTGTTTGTGTGTGTTTGTGTGTGTGTGTGTGTGTGTGTGTGTGTGTGTGTGTGTGTGTTTGTGTGTTTGTGTGTTTGTGTGTTTGTGTGTTTGTGTGTGTGTGTGTGTGTGTGTGTGTGTGTGTGTGTGTGTGTGTGTGTGTGTGTGTGTGACAGTTCAATTTAAATGCTGGTATATGGCAAAATGTTGCTTTTGTGTTATGCTAGAACAAGCTTTTATTTGGAATTTTAAACTAGAATTGAGTTGTATCATACATTAGAATAATGCACAAGTATTACCATGCTGGTTCCGTAGAAGGGACCACAACAAATTTCATAATTTTTCAACCGCAGGTGGCATCATGTTCCAGGTGTAATTGCTAATTCATTAAATATTTAATTTAAGTGATTTGTTCAAAATTACTGATTCAGTTAAACAAATCAAGTGACTGTATTTTTATGAATTTAATCACTAGCCAGGTTTCAAACCTAACTTAAAGCAAGTCTTTGCAAAGTTGGCTGAAAGCTAAAAAGAATGTTTAATAATCGAATATATATTATCCACGTCAAAGACAATAGAATACACAATACATGTCACTCTTATAGTTTTGAGTGGGAAAAAGGTAACGATCAATATGGCAAATGAAGCCCCGCCTTCTAGTACAGGAGCCAATCATCGATCACTAAAGTCTGGCGATTCTTCGGTTCAGAGGCTCGGACCAGACAGAAATTTCTGCCGATTTTGTTTGATTCGAACATTTTTTGTTTAGAAATGTTTAAGTTTCAGTATTGTGATTACACACACATGCTCATATGGAAAAAAATTTACTTGCATGACGTTACTTAAATGCATAATATTCTACATATATTAAAAACAAAGAAAGTCATTGAGGGATAGTTAGTGCTATGATAACCTGATTTATAAAGTCATTCTAACTTAATTCTAATAGGCTTCATCATGCAGTCAATGCTGCAAAAAATACTGTAAAAAAGACAATAGACGTCAATAGAATGTCTACAGGTGTATTCCAAAAAGCTTCATCTGGTCATATAATATAGAACACATAAACATTTACATAAAATAATTACAGAAATATTCAGTCTTGTGGTTTCATTTACTGAATTGCAAATGTTCTTGTATTCATTTTGGGAAAGCATTTGATATTTTAGTTTGCGATATCTTTTCTTTAACCACAGTGTGCGTTACCATAATCTGAACCCAAACTATGTCCATGAGCGTCTAAAACAGCTGGGCCAGAGTTTCAGTCTCAGAATTCTGCTTGTCCAGGTGGACGTGGTGAGTATGTCTGTTTCAATCATGAACTCACTCATATTTCCTGTCATTTGTTCTTTCTTTAATGATTAGTTTTAGTTAAGTGGTTCAAAATTAAATGATAAGTACATCATCATGCTCAGAATGAAAAATTTTTAAGCTTTTCATTCAGTTAATAATGTTTTATTTCTCTGGACATCATTGATCAGAAAGACCCTCATCATGCACTGAAAGAGCTTGCACGAATATGCATCATGGCTGACTGTACCCTCATCTTGGCCTGGAGGTAACCGGATGGCTCAAAATAAACAAGCGAGAGGCTTGCAAGGCTTGCTTTTATTAGAGGCTTGCAAGTTTTTAAGTGCCTTGTTTAAAAAAAAAGGTGTTAAAGTTCCTGTTGTTTTTTTGTGCTTTAATTTGCTTTAACCTGTTTGTTTGTTTGTTTGTTTGTTTGTTTGTTTGTTTGTTTGTTTGTGCAAGTCCTGAAGAAGCAGGCCGTTATCTTGAAACCTATAAATCCTATGAGAAGAAGCCTGCAGATCTACTTAAAGAGCAAGTAGAGAAAAATTACCTGTCCCAGGTTAATATATTAATAAATCTAAATGTATAATGTATTCTTCATTTGGGAATGCACCTGACACAGAATTACATCCTATTTTTATTTTTTGATAGGTTACAGATTGTTTAACCACAGTTAAGTCTGTCAATAAGACTGATGCCATGACTCTTCTGTCTACGTTTTCTGTAAGGAAGGTTTTTTCATGCTACATTTATTAATTATTTGACAAATATCATGTAGCTGAACTGTTCCTAATAGATATTGTATTAGTATATTAGCATACTATAAAGATTTCTGAAGGATCATAGGATGCTGTAAAGAGTAATGACGCTAAAAAATCACTTTCTGTTGATTCTGTTGAAGTCTTACAAATAAATCAAAATCTAAAATATATTAAAATGCAATTATTTTTTTTAATGTTATAATATTTTGCTAAATTACAGGTTACCTTTTAATAGTAATATTAATGATTATTCTTATTATTTACAGTGCATCCGGAAAGTATTCATAGCGCTTCACTTTTTTTTTTTTTTAACATTTTTATGTTACAGCCTTATTCCAAAATGGATTAAATTCATTAATTTCCTCGAAATTCTACAGACAATACCCCATAATGACAATGTGAAAAAATATTTTTTTTATATTGTTGCAAATTTATTAAAAATAAAACACCTGCAAAATCACACGTGCATAAGTATTGACTGGCTTTGCTCAATACTTTGTTGATGCACCTTTGGCAGCAATTACATTATTGAATATGATGCCACAAGCTTGGCACACCTGTCTTTGAGAATTTTTGCCCATTTCTTTGCAGTACCTCTCAAGCTCTATTAGGTCGGATGGAAAGTAATGTTGTACAGCCCTTTTCAGATCTCTCCAGAGATGTTCAATAGGATTTAGGTCTGGGCTTTGGCTGGGCCACTCAAGGACATTCACGGAGTTGTTGTGAAGCCACTCCATTTATATTTTGGCAGTGTGCTTTGGGTCATTGTCCTGCTAGAAGATGAACCGTCGCCCCAGTCTGAGGCCAAGAGCACTCTGAAGCAGGTTTCCATTCAGGATGTCTCTGTACATTGCTGCATTCATCTTTCCCTCTATCCTGACTAGTCTTCCAGTTCCTGCTGCTGAAGAACAATCCCACAGTATAATGCTGCCACCACCATGCTTCACTTTTGGGATGGTATTGGCCTGGTGATGAGTGGTGCCTGGTTTTCTGAGAGTCCTGGCCACTCTACCATACAGGTCTGATTGGTGAATGCTGCACAGATCACCTCCCTGACTAAGGCGCTTCTCCCCCGATCACTCAGCTTAGATGGCTGGCCAGCTCTAGGAAGAGTCCTGGTGGTTCCAAACATCTTCCACGTACTGATGATGGAGGCCATTGTGTTCATTAGAACTGTCTGAGCAGTAGAAATTTTTCTGTTACCTTTCTCAGCCTTGTCCCTTGAGACAATCCAGTCTCAGAGGTCTACAGACAATTTCTTTGTCTTCATGCTAGGTTTGTGCTTTGACATGCACTGTCAACCCTGGGACCTTATATAGATAGGTGTATGCCTTTTCAAATCGTGTCCAATCAACTGCATTTGCCACAGGTGAACTCCAATTAAGCTGCTGAAACATCTTAAGAATGATCAGTGGAAACAGATTATACCTGAGCTCAATTTAGAGCTTCTCAGCAAAGGCCGTAAAAAAAGTGAAGCACAATGAATACTTTTCCGGATGCACTGTATAATTGGTGAAACCTTACTCCTTTTATGTAATAAAATCTTAAAGTACTTTCGAAATACTTGCATGTTCTTATTGCATTTTATCTCTTCAGTCATTGGAGGGCATCATTAAAGCTTCAAAGGAGGAACTTGTTTTATGTCCAGGACTCGGTCCACAAAAGGTGTGTAAAGACATTTGAATATTTTACAATAACAATAAGCCATCTTCACACTTTTTACCTCTCTAAGAGTATGTCTCAATTACCATTACTCTTTTTGGTTCATTTAGGCAAGAAGGCTTTATGACGTATTGCATCAGCCCTTCATAAAGACCAAGAAGAAGGAAAGTTGATCATTTTAAGCTGCGTTACAGAAAATGGATTTAGAAAAAGTGTCTGGGACCATCTGAGACCATCAGGCGTGAGAGTTTTTGCTGTTTTTGGCATAAACAGTCTCTAAATGTTATATTATTAGGCTTTGTTTTTCTGTAAGTCTAATATTTTTTTGTATATCATTTTTCATGTGATCAATAAATATCCATAATATTTAGATGTAATCATTTGCTATGTTTTTATTTTCGAGTAGGAGGGGAGATTCCGTTACAACTCCATGATTCTATTTGCAATTGGAATAAACCTGTAAAAAACACCTGCCATATAAGAAAAAAATTATAAATGGAAACTTGAGGACTGTCTCAAATGATTTGAGTGTATGGGCAAACTGACTCATTGTCAACTCGAATGTATTTGTGGACCAAATGTTCATGGCCAACACAAATGAAAACCTCACAAGTCAGTCAGGTGGGAGGTTTAGATTATAGGCAAAGGTGAATAGCAATCTTCATATGCCCCTGTCATATAATTTGCCATACATTATGTTGCTTTTATAACCTCAAAAGGCAAAAAAAAGACCTGTGCACACTTTATCTCATATAATGATAGTGAAATGTGACCAGCATTAAGTCCTATCACATTATGTCCTTTATGACATGTTGCATCTTCCAAGTGTTACAGTAAGGTAAATGAAGACTTATGTTTAATTTTATTTGTGCATTGATTTGGATTTTATACTGCTCATATAATTTTTAAAAGGAAAACTTGACAATTTGCCCATATACTGTAATAATTTAGTGGTCTTTAAAAAACTAAATCACACAACAAATAATGTAAGGTAGCTTTGAAATTGAGCCAGTGTTAAAGAGCCCCATTATACATTAAAAAGGGTCATATTTTGGTTTGAAGGGTTTCCAACTGTCTAATATGTATGCAAGGTCACTTTTTTTAGTCCTATAATAAGTGTTTATTTTTACCTAATTATCCCAGCGACTCCCATATGAATCATTCAGCGATTCATTTGTTTCTAAACCCCTCCTTAGCGAGAAGCTAATCTGCGTTGATTGGACCGATGACCGACTGTTGCGATTGGTCGACGCATTCAGCGCAAGACAGAGTGAAATGCCCAGCGCGGCTTATCAACAATATTGAAGTAGTCAAGGTGGATAGTGTGTGTGTGAGCATACCTGCCAACACTTTTTTTTCCCGGGAGTCTTCTGTATTTCAGATCCATCTCCAACCACCCACCCACCCATTTTAACATTTATCCCGGAAAACTCCCTTAAAAACCCCTGTGAAAACCCCGGGTCACTGCAACACTGGTATAGGATCCGATCGCAGCAGCAGCCTGAAACATGCTTCATAGTAGTTACTAACACCACAGTACACGGTTCTCATCAGTGTTATTCAGACACCTCACCCCCAAACCTAACCTTCTCAGTCTCCCGGATTTTTTTTTTGTGTGCATGAGTGCATTAAAGCAGTGCAGTTAAGCACCAGCATATTGCTCCATTCTTAACCATGAAACACATTCAGTATTAATCCACACAGCGGCAAAGGCTGAACTATTGTGAACCTTGATCGCGGCACTTGTGTAGGATCATCTGACAGTGGCCATAGCAATGACAAACGGCAGTAGATCATGAGCTCACAAACGCATTGAAATCCATAAACAAAGCAGCACGCATCGCGTTTTCAACGTGGTATTAGACGTGATATGAGAATATAAAGAGTTAACCAGATACAGTACACGTGGTTACAAGTAACAAAACCGAAATAAATACATAATTTGCAAGCTAGAGAATACAAGGATGCAGCCATTTACGTACACTTGTGAAATGGAGGAAGAAACTTATCCATGTACTAATAAAGTTCCTGTCAAGCTCTGTCTAAGTCTCATACATCAGTAGTCTTTTCTGATCCGTTCTTTAACAAACATACAACGAATCTCTCGTAGTAAGCATGCAGATTGCTGAAGCACTCATCAGAAACTGACATGAACAGCACAGCCTGGGCTATAATGCTGGGGTATTTTTCCAAAAATAAACCTCAACCACTGACTCTTTACAACCATCTTTGAGTGAAAAAAAAAAACTTTCCCCACACACTTCCAATAATATCCAGCTAAGCACAGAATCTTCATGATTTGATTAAACTGGGATCTTTTTTTCTTCCTTTTTTTCTTTGCTACTGCATATGTGGGCGGAGCCACAGGTTTCAATTTTCCCGGGTTTGCATGCACAACAGTTGGGCGGGCCTTATGTTTCGTATCCACGTCACACCGAAATGGCTGAAAACTCATTATCAAGACTATTCATTCAAACCATTATGAGTCGACTCTTTTATAGATGAATCACACTGTCCACTTTCAGATTTAAGCCTTAGCTGGATATTTCACTTGACTTCGAGCTGTGTTATACACTACATGAAAGGTCATTTTCAAAAACCCATAATAGGAGCTCTTTAATATGAGATGTTTCCTCTACACCTTTCCTACGTTTACTTTCATATGTGACTGAACATATGAGTCAGAGAGTATATAGACCCTGATGGTGGTCACTATTCATTTTCAGTTTCTGTATCAGCACATTCATTTATCATGCTGCTCAGTGTTCTTCTGCTGTCTATCTTCTCTCTGTCTGGTAAGACATTTTATATCTATGAAATACATAGATCTATTTAAATACATTTTTATTTCTTTGTATTTTTGTACTAGTGTATGAGTTTTAACTCTAAAGTTATACAGTATATGTGTATATAATTAATTGTAATGTATTATAATAATATATGTATAATCCTAATATCATATTCTGTCATTAAAACAGGAGGGATGGAGAGTGGTATTGTTGGAGGCAGAGAGGTTAAACTTCATTCCAGACCATACATGGCATCTCTGCAGGTACAAAGAAAGCATAATTGTGGAGGGATACTGATAAAGGAGGATTACGTGTTGACTTCGGCTCATTGTTGGAAGTGGGTATATGTATGCAAACATTATTTCACTCCTAAAAATCTAGGTTCTTTTCAAAGTGATGTTGTAGGGGGATAATTATTTGTTTCCACTTAAGCATATTTATGATTATTTTGTGTGTGTGTGTGTGTGTGTTTGTGAAGAACATTTAACTTTTACTTTTTCCCCTATAAGCGATTGCACGATTTAAAAAAAAAAAGGTTTTAAAAATTGTAATGCTTAAAAATAGCTGTTCTTTATTGGCATTGATGGCTCCTTGAGGAACCGTTACATTCACCATCCATTAAACAGACTTTTATTTTTATTGATATTCATTAAATTTAGCATATTTATGATTTTTTTGTCTTGTGTGTGAAGAACATTTAAATATAACTTTTCCCCACTATAAACCATTACACACTAAAAAAAGGTTTGAAAAGGTGTCGCACTTAAAAATAATTATTGCTCTTCTTCATTGGCATTGATGTCTCCTTGAGGAATCCATTATATTCCTTAAATATTAAACAGACTTTACTTTTATAGTTATAATAATGAATTAAATGAATAATTTTATTATTATACCATTTTGACAGAAGAAAGGTTCTTTAAGTCATTGTTTTAGCAGTGTTGCTATATTAAACTGTAGCAGTTATCACTACAAAATAACCTCAACATTCTATATTTTTAGGGATACAACCAACTTAGAAGTTGTTCTGGGAGCTCACAATATCAGCCAGAGAGAGAACAGTCAGCAGATAATCCAAGTCCAGAAATACATCAAACATCCTAATTATCAGAAGAAAAACCACAGTTTTGACATCATGCTACTAAAGGTCTTGTTTGTGCACATTTAAACAATTATATTTGTTTCTTTTTGTGAAACTTGTAAAGTTATTCACTGATTAATATTTTTACAGCTGAAGACCAAAGCTGTGCTAAATCATTTTGTAAATATTACAAATCTACCCAAACACGAACCGAGTATTCTTGCTCCTGTGGAATGCTCCATTGCTGGTTGGGGAATGCAAAGACCTGGAGAAGGAGCATCAAATGTTCTTCGAGAAGTCAACCTCCAACTGGAGTCCAATTCTTATTGCAAAAGTAAATGGCAGGTCTATTTCAACTCTAAGAACATGGTCTGTACTGCTTCAGATGGAAAAAAGGCTTTCTGTCAGGTATTTTGCAATGATACTTTAAATGGTTAACAAATATTTGAAAGATGTCATCTAATAGTGGCAAAATACATGCTAAATATTGAATCTGTTTCTTTTTAGGGTGACTCTGGCAGTCCTCTTTTTTGTAATTCTGAACTTTATGGAATGGCTGCATACACATATCCTAATAACTGCACATTCAAGGAGTACCCTGAGGTCTACATGAAGGTATCTGCCTTCCTACCGTGGATTAAAAAAAACATGAAGTGATTAAAATGCTGTTGTACTGTAGCTTATATGAAGATTATTTATACACCTAAATGATCTCTAATTTGTTTTATTGTGAACCCTGTAGTAAAATGATTAGGCTGTACATTTACATTTCTCAAAATTAATGTTAATAAAAAACAAAGAACCTTTTGAAAATGTTTCTTTTATGAAATGAAAACATCCCCTGGATGTTAAATGCTCTTCATAAAGCCTTTAATAACAATAAAACACTTTTAATTTTTAGAGGATAAGCCAGAAATGAATAACTACTATTTAAAGCCACAGAACATTGCTTTTAATGTTGAAATGTACTGTAAAGATGTTGATTAGCATATCGGTATTAAACAATACAAGAATACAAAAATACAATATTATGCACACACAACCAGAAAATGTAGGTTAAGCAGTTTTCTCTTTCTCCTGTAACTTTGTAATGTCAATTAAATTTTATTTAATATTTGCCTCATCAACATTCAGATATTGACTGCAAATAAATGGATATCACAAGAAGTGTTGGGCAAGTTTTTGAAAGTAATGCATTACAATATTAAGTTACTCCCCCCAAATGTAACTAGTTGCATTACTTAGTTACTTTTTTTTTTAGTAAGTAACTTTTTTAGTAAGTAATGCATTACGTTACTTTTGAGTTAACTTTACATTTTTATTACATTTTTATTATCTGGCTGAGGCTTGATCTCTTTCAGAACTTTTTTACCGTTAAAACAACACATCAAAAAATAACATTTTACATTAAAAAAATAAATAAAATTTAGGATAATGTTATAGGAAGTTCCTGACCCCAGAGCTCTACATGCCGTATATGCAGATAAATGAAAGTTTAAAGCAGTGTTTGCTACTTTTGTACTATTTGTCTTAGGTAAAATCACTGTTCATTGAGACCACAATCCCCCTTTTCTTTTTTCATTACATTCAAAATAATGAACACATTCTCTCATTGACTGCATGATTCTTCGTGAGTACTTTAGTTTTAGCTCAATTTATTTTTTTGAAAGGTAATTGATAAAACTAAAAAGTAACTCAAATTTTATTACTTATTTTTAAATGTAATGCGTTAATTTACTCGTTACTAAGCAAAGTAATATTATTATGTAACTTGCATTACTTTTAATGCATTACCCTGACCACATGCCGCCCAATTTTAATAAACATGAGATTTAAATCTAATGGACTTCTTTTTTAAATTTCTGATAGCAGTGCCTGAGTAGAGTGGTAGGTACTTTAGTACGGAACATGTAGTTAATGTTAGTTACATTTACAGTATGATATAAAGGAATATATTTCAACACATTCTCACAATGAACAATGCTAGAACATATAGTAGTTATACCTCAACATTTACTAGTGGTTTATTAAAATCTAATATTTTGCTTGTTAGTTAACATTAGTTAGTTTATTTGAGTAAAGATGAACTAACAATGACCAACTGTATTTTCATTTACTAACGTTAACAACGATGCTCCCACCTCCACCCCCCATGACTCACATTTGCAATCAGTCTGCCCACCTGGGACACACATTTGTGGTTTGAGGTGCAAAAGGCAAGATTCAAAACCAGTGAGTGGAGAGTTTGGTGACAAACAACATTTCACTTTTAATGCGCAGTTGAAGACTGAGCCATGGCTCTGTGCACTTTTCTTCTTCTCCTTGCTATTTCTTTGGCTGGTGAGTTTCATTCCTTTCTTCTTGAAATCTTTTTTTTTCAAAAGCAAAAAATTTTAGAACTATCAAACATTGGTCACACTTTACAATAAGGTAACATTAGTTAACAAATTTACTAAGTTCAATTCAAGTTCATTTGTAACGCTCTTTTTACAATAATTATCATAATCAGCTTTGCAAAATGTGCACGTCATTACATTACAGTCAAAATCAGAAAAGGTTGATGTGTATAGGATCAACAGTGTGCAGTTAATCTGCTGTTATTCAATAGTGTACTTTTTCAGAAACGTGATATCTATAGTACATTGTCAATAAAGTGGTCTGACTGTGCTGAACCAAGGATGAGCAATATTGTACAGCATTTATTAATCATAGTTTAGCATTCACTAATACATTATTAAAATCTACATTCATGTTTCTTAACATTAGTTAATGCACTGTGAGTTAACTAGAACGAAGTTTCATGAATAAATGTGATCAAAGATGAATATTGTAATTAATGTATAGTGTTTATTATTTGTTCATCTTAGTACTTACGTTAACTGACATTAACTAATGCAACCTTGCTGTAAAGGGTTACCCAAACATTTGCAAGCTACCAATTAAAGGATCTTTAAAAAAAATGTTCATAAAATACAAATTACAACATTGCATTCAGTTTCTCCCTGGTCTATGCATGTTCTTTTGACACAGGTGGGATGGATAGTGGTATTATTGGAGGAAAAGTGGCTAAAGCTCATTCAAGACCATACATGGCATCCATTCAGATCAACAAACACCACACGTGTGGAGGGATGTTGATCAGAGACGATTACGTTCTGACAGCGGCTCACTGTTTAAAGTAAGTATGAGCCTGAGTATGATCCTCAAGCCTTTTAGTTTATTTTTAAATGTACATTGCAGTTTGTAATTTGTCCACAGTCGTGGTGTGTACTCTGGTCGAGGCCACTTAGAGGTTGTTCTGGGAGCTCACAACATCAGCAAACATGAGCAAAACCAGCAGAGGATTCAAGTGAAAAAATATATCCGGCATCCCATGTTTCAACGCAACAAAGAGAAGGACTACAGCTATGATATCATGTTACTAAAGGTATTTTTATCTTCACCTAACATGCCTCAATATTATGTTTTTTTCTCTCTGTAAAATGATTTTCTCTTCTTTGCAGTTGAAGAACAAAGCCAAGATCAGCAAATTTGTCAAAGTTATTTCTCTTCCTAAAAAAAATGGGAAAATACCAGCCAATGTCAAATGCTCAGTAGCTGGCTGGGGGTTGACGAAGCCAAAGGCAGAATTGGCATCAGATGTACTGGAGGAAGTCACTCTCAAACTGCAGTTCGACTTTGAATGTAAAACAATGTGGCAGCAACATTTTAACACTGAAAGAATGATCTGTAGTGTCTCAGATGGGAAACATGCTTTTTGCCAGGTAATATTATATTATATTATATTATATTATATTATATTATATTATATTATATTATATTATATTATATTATATTATAATAATGTCATTCTTTTTTCTCTAGGGCGATTCAGGAGGTCCTCTTATCTGCAATACTAAACCCCAAGCAATTGTTTCATATACTTTTGAAGGTAACTGTATAAATAAACAGTATCCTCAGGTTTTTTTGAAAATCTCCTACTTCCTTCCCTGGATTAAAAAGAACATGAGTTAAATAAATCATTTATTAACTTTTGTAATCCAGTATCTGACTGTATTAGTTACAGTACTAGTATCCTTGTACTGCTTGTTCCTGTTGCTACTTTGAAGTTGTAAATAAAGATTTGTAATTACAGATTGCACTGATGTGTGTGTGCGTGTGTGTGTGCGTCTGTGTGTGTGTGTGTTTAATATGCTTTAACTATGAAGGGTATCTTGTGTGATTGATGATACTAATCAAGTTTGTTCCTGCTCACGATTTCTGTTTCTCAAATGATTTCACACTTTTCTCTCAGCTCTGTGGCCAGGATTAGGAAGGTTCCTTAAAAATGTAATAGGTTATTTTATGTAATTAATTGTATTTCAGATATAATACTGTTTTTGAAAAAAAAAATGCATTGCTGTAACAGAAGATACTGCCATGTACTGCATCAATGAAATGAAATGAAGGGAAATGAAAATTGTCATCTTTTTCTCACTATTTTCTTGTTCCAAACATTCATTAGTTTCTTCTGTTGAAATCAAAAGAAAAGCTTTTAAAATGCTGAAAACCTTTAGACATTGACTTCCATGTATTACTTTTTCTTACTATGACTTCTCCCTAATGGTTCATTTAGCTTTCTTCTTAATATCTTCGTTAGAGTTCAACAGAAGAAAGAAACTCAAAGGTTTGGAACCACTTGAGGTTGAGCAAATAGAGAGTGAATTTGTATTTTGGGTGAACTATCCCTTGAAGGTTTGAGTCAAGAGAGGGAGAACATTCAACCAGGGAGAGTGTGCTTTTTTAACAGGCTGTTGAACTTTGGTTTGTTTCACTTTTTTATTTTTTTTATTTTTTGGATTGTGAGATAATGTCCATTCCTTCTTTTTGACAACTAAAGAGACTGTTGTTGTTGATTTTTATTTTTGATTCCTAATATGCTATTTAATCATAAGCTTGGCAAGTAATTTTCAAGAATTTGATGTTTCCTCATTTAAACCGAATGCCTGAGCATACTGCCCGAGAGGCATTTCAAAGATGGCCACTGAATGAAATGACTTCACTTGACTTTCAAATTGGTAGTAGCCAACAGTAAGCAAGACAAGCATAATGGAGGCAGCTGATTAGTCACGTGAGTGTAATGTTCACTATGTCAGTTTATCTGACAAATGCATTTTCATCTCCTATTTTTCACAACCCTGATCCAAAGCCACCTCAAGTAAGTGTGATGGTTTGTGATTTTTATTCAAAGTTTGACATTTCTATCACTTGTTTCTTGTGGGATTCTTCAAAATGCACGTTTGCACAGAAGGTTGAAAACCAGCAGTTTGGCAATTTTTCATTTTCAATGACACAAAATTAGCCTCTTGTTTGTTCAGTTGCATTATAAAGTCAATATTGTGATTGCCCTCCATGATGTTACCTAAATACATAATATTCTACATATTGAAACAAAGAAAGTTATAGAGGGATAGTAATTGCAATGATAACCAATTTTCTAAAGTCATTCTAACTCGGTTCCAATAGGCTTTATCATCCAGTCAATGCTGCTAGACTGCAAAAATACTGTACCAAAAGATAGCAAAGTCAATAGAATGTCTACAGGTGTATCCCAAAAAAGCTTCTTCTGGTCATATAAGATAACATTACCAGTTACATAAAATCATTACAGAAATATTCAGTCTTGTGGTTTCATTTACTGAATTGCGAATATTGTTGTATTCATATTGGTACAGCATGTGATGTTTTAGTTTGTGATATATTTTCTTTAACCACATGTGCGTTGCCATAATCTCAACCCAAACTACGTCCATGAGCGTCTAAAACAGCTGGGCCAGGGTTTCAGCCTCAGAGTTCGGCTTGTCCAGGTGAATGTGGTGAGTCTCTCTGTTTTAATCATGAGTTCACTCATATTTTCTGTCATTTGTTCTTTTTTTAATGTTTAGTTTTAGTTAAGTGGTTTAAAATTAAATGATATATAAATCATCATGCTGTAAGATTTGAGATATCACAAATATTTTAATGTCTTTGACAATTCACATATGAGCTGAAAACAAAGACAATCAGCTCCACAACCCAGCAGGTGGGAATGCGGTAAAATCCAGCTCCCCTCCATTTCTCCATTTACATTAGAAACATTTCTCGAAACCCACCTTGGTTTTTCAGCCCCCTTTTAATTAACTCAAGAATAGTCATTTAAAGTCTGAATGTTCTAAATCAACCCAAGTGACTTTGTCTATTATGTTTGATATCATTTGAAATGTTTCAGTGCGACAGGTGCAATGGTCTCATTCCCTCAGAAATAGACATAATCAAAACAATAAATATATAACTTCATGTATTTTACTAAATGCAAATGCCTTTTGTTATTCACACACCCCTTTCCTTGAGGGGATTCTTGCATTTTCTACTTAAGGGAAGGTTTGAAAAATGTTCTGCGTGATTCTGCTTATCAGATCAGCCCATAATATGGAGCTCTAATGCTCTATGTTATGTATATTTTGAAGTCAGGTATGCATCTTTTAATCTTGGATTTATCTTTGAGAATTTGATGTCTTATATTGATCGTCTATGAATTGATTGAATGAATTGGCATAATACACATTTACCTGACTAATAAATTGTTATGTTTTGAATTATTCAAACAGAGTTCATGTTGTTATCTCTGGTAGATTACGTTAAGTCCATAGCACCACAAGCCTCTGTACAGGTTAGTAACGGACTAAAACACGGTAGACGGAGCAGCGTGGCACGCTATACGATGTTTTTAGAGATCTGACTAACATATTGGCATTAATTCAAGTATACTTAGACTGTAAAAGGCCAATAATGGGTTTTCTATTTAGAACAACAAAATGTTGTTGAAACTTATCTAAATGTGGGTAAGTTAGACCTTCATCTACAAACTTATACTATATAAATCAAATGGTCATTATTCAAAGTTACTAATAGTTTCTTGATTCTATAGTAATGATTATGATATGACTAAAATAGTTTGTCTTGATTCAGTAGTTAACAGATCTATTGGGACCAAATAAAATATCCTGAATTGAGTAAGTAGGCTTCTGCCTTTTTAGAAGAGTGGTTAATCGCCTCTGTTTAATGACCAAGACTGACATGCTTATGTTTAGGAGGTTGTATACTCGGCCGGTACAAGACTCAGGATGCTATTGGAATCTGAATAAATGAGAATAATATATAATAACAAATCGAAGAAAAAATTAAATCATAATCTAAAATAATATTAAAGAAAACAAAATAACTTTATCAATGTTTTATAATTGGAGTCAGATAAAACAAGGATAAATATATTTATGTTCTAAACCATCTCATACTAAAACTGGAGTCAGATATGAGTTAAGTTTAAAGTAAAGCAACATTGTGCACTGGAAAGACCGAACATGCAAATGAACCTTCATCCACCAGTGGACACCGCCATTGGACCAGCTGGCTGGACCCTACAATGCTCAGAATTAATTTTTTAACTTTTAGGCTTTTCATTCAGTTAATAATGTTTTATTTCTCTGGACATCATTGATCAGAAAGACCCTCATTATGCACTAAAAGAGCGTGCATGAAAATGCATCATAGCTGACTGTACCCTCATCTTGGCCTGGAGGTAAGAGGATGGCTCAAAATAATCAAGCGAGAGGCTTGCTTCCGTCAGAGGCACAAGTTTTTAAGTGGATTGTATAAAAATAATAAGGTGCATTTTTTTCTGCAAGGAACACAGTTGCACATTTATTAATTATTTGTATTATGTAGCAAGTATTATGTAGTTCATATTAGGTATTGACTGTTATTATATATTCATATTATATATTGACTGTTCATATTAGGTATTTTATTAGGATATCAGCAGTATAAAAAGATTTCTGAAGGATCATGGGATGCTGACTAAAGTAATGATGCTGAAAAATCCCCCCAAAATATTCTGTTAAATAACAAGTATATTACATTCTAGAATACAAAAGAGAGGTTGTAATTTCAATAATATTATTTATTATTATTATTAATAATTGATGTAACCTTTCAACTTTTATGCAAAAACGTTCCTTTATTAAGTAATTTTTAAATAGTTTCATATTTGTATTGTGTTTTATCTCTTCTGTAATTTGAAGGCATCATTAAAGCTTCTTAAGAAGAACTGGTTTTATGTCCAGGACTCGGTCCACAGAAGGTGTGTACTACAAACATTTTAATATTATATTTTGGTATTTTTACTTTATGAAGCATCTGATGTACATTTCCCAAATGATGTTTAACAGAGCAAGGAAATTTTCACAGTATGTCTGATAATATTTTTACTTCTGGAAAAAGTCTTATTTGTTTTATTTCAGCTAGAATAAAAGCAGTTTAAATTTTTTTTAAAAACAATTTTGGGACAAAATTATTAGCCCCTTTAAGCTATTTTTTTTGATAGTCTTAAGAACAAACCATTGTTATACAATAACTTGCCTAATTACCCTAACCTGCCTAGTTTACCTTATTAACCTAGTTAAGCCTTTAAATGTCACTTTAAGCTGTACAGAAGTGTCTTGAAAAATATCAAGTAAAATATTATTTACTGTCATCATGACAAAGATAAAATAAATTAGTTATTAGAAATAGGTTTTTAAAACTATTATGCTTAGAAATTTGCTGAAACAATCTTCCCTCCATTAAAGAGAAATTGGGGAAAAAAAATAAACAGGGGCGCTAAATAGTCAGGGGGGCTAATAATTCTGACTTCAACTGTACATATTGAATCCCATAAATTTTAACAATATATTTACACAATTTTAAAATAATATGTCTTAATTACCATTCCTCGTTTTGGGTCATTTAGGCTAGAAAGCTTTATGATGTGTTGCACCAGCCCTTTATAAAGACCAAGAATAAGGAAAGTTGATCAGTCTGATCAAAGCTGCTTTTCATTACCAGGAAAGGCATTTAGAATAAGTATCTGGGAACATGTAGCAGTTGGACCTCTGTTGGCTTGGAAGTTTTTGGTCTATGATAACATAAATCTGTAAAAACTAGCTGAAATGTATTCAGTTTTGTATCAGGATTTATATTTAGCTGTGTATTACTGTAAGTTTGATTTTTTTCATAATGTTTTTTATGTGTAATCAATAATTATCAGCAATATTTAGAGATAATTGTATGCTATGGTTTTATTTTCGAGTAGGAGGGGAGATTCAGTTGCAGTTTGTATAAAAACCACCTGTCATATAAGACAAAAAGAAGTGTATGGGCAAGTTGACTCAGAGTATGAACGTGTTTGTGGACAAAAGGTTCATGGCAACACAAATGTCACAGAAAGTCTCACAAGTCAGTGAGGTGGGAGGTTTTAGACTACAGTCAGAGGTGAATAGGATTTTTTAATAAGCGGATAGTTCAGCCAACAATGAAAATTCATCATAAAGAGACAAGTTTTACATACCCTGGTGTTGTTAAATGCTATATGTCCCTTTTTAACCTCCCCACACTGTTTTATATATATATAACAGCAGTAAAATGTGACCAGCGTTAGGCTTTTGATAAAAATAATAAATAAAATAAGATACAGAAGTACCACATTATCATTCTATATCAGTGGTTCTCAAAGTGGGGGTTGTGACCCCTCCAGGGGTCGCAGGACAATGAAGGGTTGGGGAGGTGGTGGGGGGGGGGGGGGGGGGGGGTCATCTGGTGATTTCCAATAATCTATTTTTGTTAAACTATAAGAATTACCATATTTTATCCATAACCTATTGAAGAAAAAAAATGTCGCTTATAGTTACCATATACTATATAGTTATTATTATATATAGTATTATAGTAGCTCATGGTTACTAGTTCTATTGGATTGCGAACACGGGGGTAATTAGATTATATTACAGACACAGCAATAGGGTATATGCTGAGCTAGTGTTGTTCCCATACTGATAAACTTCCGATCACCTGTTATTGTGATTTTTTTTTTTTTTTCCATTTGATACAATTCCTTTTACAGCATCGATGTTGTAATGTAACTAAAATATGTTCAGTTAAATAAACTTTGGCATTCATTTAGTTGCTCAAGTGTGAAACGAGACAAAAGGCTTTTTACTCACACTCACCTGTCAGAATCGGCAGGCTAGCGCAGAAGCTCCATATACTGGGGTAAAATAAATGCTCATATTATAAAGACACGGCGGGGTAAAATGTAATTTAATGCAGTGCCTAATCAGTACAATCTGAGACCCACTTTATATCGGATATTACTCAGCCAGTGGAGATCACTGACCTTAAACACGCCGATTTTTGCATTGGCATACAGTTCACCGGAAGTGCTTAACCCAGGTTACTGGCAAATTTAAAGTCCTTTTAGCATGCTTCGGCATATACCATATAGCGTCAGCACTCATACATTAAACAATTTTAACAAAGAATATACAGTACTTGGGTGTATTGGTGTGTGAGCACCATAGCATACAAGCTTTCTGTATTTCTAACCACCTCAGAGGATATTGGGGGTTGCGAGTCACTGGCATTGTCATTTTTGGGCATCGCAGGCTGAAAAATTTGGGAACCCCTGTCCTATATGACATTTGATATGTCATGTGTTGTGCAGATATACAATAGGGTTTGATGAAAAACAAGCTAATTGAATTTACTGTTTAACAAATGTCCTTTATTGTTAGTGTCTGAGCACTACTGCATGTTTATGAGACTCACTCAGAAAAGACTCATGAATTAAGTGGAATCAAGATGCAGAGAAATCTGATAAAATACAGTCAATGTACTCTATTGCCTGAGATTATGTTTTTTGCAACAGCAATAATGTCATTCTTCAGTCAAATGTTATTCTGGTGTTCTCTGTTATTTTAGTTTAATTTAACTTAGTTCACCTCATTATAATACAAGCTTATAAAATAACATAAACATTTATTGCTGTTTATATTATTATGTCAATGGTCACCAAAACAGGTTGGTTACCCAGATTATTTTAACAAAGTAATACAGCTTTGGAATGACTTGGGGTAAAGAGCATTAAGTTCTAACTGCACTTTCAACCTTTTTGTTTTTTTAATCTGAAAGCTGCTTGTGTTAATAAAACAAATTGGATCTTTCCCCTACATGTTTCACCTTTCCTACATTTACTTTCATATATGTGACTGAGTATATCAGGGAGTGGCTATATAGACCCTGCCGATGGTCTAATTCTGTTCATATTAAGTTCCTGTATCAGCACGTTCATGCAGTACATCATGCTGCTCTGTGTCTTTCTCCTGCTCTCCCTCTTCTCTCTGTCTGGTAAGGCATTCACCTTTTACATCAATACAAGAATAAAAATATATTCTTAACTCCTGTTTCTTTGTGCGTTTGTAATTTTGTAGTGTACAAGTTCTAACTTAGTTATACAGTATATACAGTATGTTGTGTCATTATACAGGAGGACTGGAGAGTGGTATTGTTGGGGGCAGAGAGGCTAAACATCATTCCAGACCATACATGGCATCTCTGCAGAAAAAACGAAATCATGTTTGTGGAGGGATGCTGATAAAAGAAGATTATGTGTTGACTTCGGCTCATTGTTGGAAGTGAGTATGCATTACACTCATAAAAGGAACCCTCAAGGTTTTTTCAAAGAACCTATTTGTGTTTTCAGTGGTCAGGTACATTTATTTATTATATAAATTTATTATTTATGGATTTGTGTATTTTTGGATTTGTTTACATATTTTTTTTTTTTTTTGTGAACATTTAAATCTAACCTTTCCTCTTATAAAGAACTTTGGGTTCAATGAAAAGATTTCTCTCTTAAATAAATAAAAAAAGGGTTGTAAATTGTGGTTTCTTGAAGATCATCTCACATATCCTCTTCATTAAACAGAATATTATTCTATTGATAATGATTATTTATTCTTATAATATGAAATTTATAGTGGAAAAAGTTTCATTAGTTCATTGAATTTCTCTCCACAATAAGAAAAAAAATTCACTGAAAGGCCCAATCACTTTCATAGAAAAATAAAGGTTATGAAAGGGTTTTCTCTGTGTTGTCATTTGAAGAACCATTTTTGGTTCCAAATGAATCTTTCAGTGAAGAGTTCTTAGAACCTTTTCTCTTTTTTATTTTAAGTATTAATTCAAGTAATTCATTAATTTATTTTTAATAAGGGCTTAGTCCCTTATTCATCCAAGCTCACCACAATGAAACGAACCGCCAACTGTTCCGGTATATGTTTTACGTATAGTGAATAAGCTTCTAGCCGCAACCCAGTACTTAGAAACACCCATACACTCTCAGATTCACACACACCCATACACTAAGGGCAATTTAGTTTTTAAATTCACCCATAGCGCATGTCTTTGGTAAGTGGGGGAAACCAGAGCACCTGAAAAAACCCACACGAACACGGGAACAACATGTAACAGAAATGCCTACTGACCCAGCCGGGATTCAAACCAGTGACCTTCTTGCTGTGAGGTGACAGTGCAACCACTGAACCCCTGTGCCACCCTAATTTAAGCAATAATCTACAGAAATTTTATCCACTATATAAAAAATATTGTGAAATAAGAACATTTTACAATGGTTCCAAGTAGCCTTTGATGCCAATAAAAAAAGTGTTCCCTACAAACTTCTGGATTCTTCATTTTCAAGAGTGAGGACCAATATTTGCTTTCCCAAAGAATCATTCAGTGGTTTTAAAAGTTTTTCTTACACTCTTTAAAATAAAAGCTCTTCTCCAACACTGATGGTTGCAAATTGAACCAATTGAACCAATTTGTTATCATGCTACAAACCTCTTATCTGGTGTTCTTATCTGTATTTTCACAGTGAAACTGACAAATACAGCTTACAAATTGTTCTGGGAGCTCACAATATCAGTCAGAAAGAGAACAGTCAGCAGATAATTCAAGTTGAAAAATACATAAAACATCGCAAGTTTGATATTATGTTACTAAAGGTATTTGATGCTCTATTTTTCCTATTATTATTTTAGTTATTTTTTGTGAAACTTAAGATATGCATTGATTTATATGTTACAGTTGAGGACCAAAGCTGTGCTAAATCATTTTGTGGATATTATAAATCTACCCAAACATGAAATTAGTATTCTTGCTCCTTTGGAATGCTCCATTGCCGGCTGGGGAATGAAAAGACCTGGAGAAGGAGCATCAAATGTTCTTCGGGTAGTCAACCTCCAACTGGAGTCCAATGCCAAGTGTAAAAGTAAATGGCAGACACATTTCAACTTTAAGAACATGGTCTGTACTGTCTCGGATGGAAAAAAGGCTTTCTGTCAGGTATTTTGCAATGATACTTTAAATGATTAACAAATATTTTAAAGATGTCTTCTAATAGTGGCAAGATGCATGCTAAATAATGAATCTGTTTCTTTTTAGGGTGACTCTGGCAGTCCTCTTCTTTGTAATTCTGAACTTTATGGAATGGCTGCATACACATATCCTAAAAACTGCACATTCAAGGAGTACCCTGAGGTCTACATGAAGGTATCTGCCTTCCTACCGTGGATTAAAAAAAACATTCAGTGATTAAATGCTGTTGTACTGTAGCTTATATGAAGAACATTTATGCACCTAAATGATCTCTAATTTGTACTATGTGAACCCTGAGGAAAAATGCTTTGGCTGAACATTTACATTTCTCAAAATTAATGTTAATAAAAGACAGAAACGTTTGAAAATGTTTCAGTCATTTTTGTTTAAAGAAAAAGGATTTTTTTGTAAAAAGAAAACCCATGACCATGGACGTTAAATGCTTTTCATTAATAACAATAAATTACTATGTTTTAGAAGACAAGCCAGAAATAAATAACTATTCAAGTGGAAGTTACAGAACATAGTTCTTAATGTACTGTAAAAATGTTGATTTGCATCAGTGTGTTGAAGATTATCGTATTATATGCACACAAAACCAGGAAACTGCAAATATTTAAGACGCCCAGAAGTATTAAAAGTCTTTAAAGAGGCCAAAACCTTTACATTCAGGTTATCAATTGCATATCATTCATTTAATGTATTGTAGGTTATACATTTACATTTACATTTACATTTAGTCATTTAGCAGACGCTTTTATCCAAAGCGACTTACAAATGAGGACAAGGAAGCAATTTACACAACTAAGAGCAACAATGAATAAGTGCTATAGGCAAGTTTCAGGTCTGTAAAGTCTAAGAAGGGAAGTATTAGTAGTATTAGTATTTTTTTTTTGTTACAGTTAGTGTGATATTCAGAGAGGCAATTGCAGATTAGGAAGTGAAGTGGAGACTAAATAGTTGAGTTTTTAGTCGTTTCTTGAAAATAGCGAGTGACTCTGCTGTTCGGATGCAAGCAGTACCCTGTTTTTGTTGTTTGTTTGTTTTTTTTGTTTTTTGTTGTTGCTTGTTACTGTAATGTCAGTTTGACTTTATTTGAGTGGCTCAATCAACATTAATACTTTGACTGCAAATACTGCAAATGCAATCGGTCTGCCCACCTTGTATTTGTCAGCTTGCTATTTTGTATACACATTTGTGGTTTGAGGTGCAAAAGGCAGGATACAAAACCAGTGAGTGGAGAGTTTGGTGACAAACAACATTTCACTTTTAATGCGCAGTTGAAGACTGAGCCATGGATCTGTGCACTTTTCTTCTTCTTCTTGCTATCTCTTTGGCTGGTGAGTTTCATTCCTTTCTTTTTGAAATCTTTTACTTTTTTCAAAAGCAAAATATTGGGAAAAAATAATATCAAACATTGGTCACATTATATATAATGTGTTGCTTAGAACTTTGTACTGAACCAAGGAAAAACAATATTTTACAGTGTTAAATTATCATAGTTTAGCATTCAATAATGCATTATTAATTTTAAATTTATGTTTCTTAACATTAATTAATGCACTGTGAGTAAACAAGAATTAACAAGAACTAAGTTTCATGAACAAATGTTATCAAAGATGAATATTATAATCATTGTATAGTGTTTATTATTTGTTCATGTTCGTAAATAAATTTAACTGACATTAATGCTACCTTATTGTAAAGTGTTACCTAAACATTTAGCTCCCATTTAAATGATCTTCAAAAATGTACATAAAATACAAATTACAACATTGCCTTCAGTTTCTCCCTAGTCTATGCATGTTCTTTTGTCACAGGTGGGATGGATAGTGGTATTATTGGAGGGAAAGTTGCTAAACCTCATTCAAGACCATACATGGCATTCATACAGAACAAATTTGAGGCATGTGGAGGGATGCTGATCAGAGACGATTACATTCTGACAGCGGCTCACTGTTTGAAGTAAGTATGAGCCTGAGTATGATCCTCAAGCCTTTTAGTTAATTTTTGATTTCATGTTGCAGTTTATTATTTGTATACAGCAACAATGATCGGAGTCACTTTGAGGTTGTACTTGGAGCCCACAACATCAGCAAACATGAGAAAAGCCAGCAGAGGATTCAAGTAAAAAAACATATCCAGCATCCTATGTTTCTAAACAGCAACAATGAAAAGGACTACAGCTATGATATCATGTTGCTAAAGGTATTTTCATCTTAACCTAACGAAACTCAATGTTATGTTTTTTTCTCTCTGTAAAATGATTTTCTCTTCTTTGCAGTTGAAGAACAAAGCTAAGATCAACAAATTTGTTAAAGTTTTGTCTCTTCCTAAAAAAAATGAGAAACTTCCAGAAAATGTCAAATGCTCAATAGCTGGCTGGGGGACGAAAGAATCAAATGGAAATAAGCCATCAGATGTACTGGAGGAAGTCACTGTCAAACTGCAGAACAACCATGAATGTGAAAGAAAATGGCAGCAACATTTTAACCCTGAAAGAATGTTCTGTAGTGTCTCAGATGGGAAACATGCTTTTTGCAGGGTAATGCTTATAATGTATGGGTAATATATATACAGTTTAAGTCACAGTTTATTATTAGCCCCCCTGAATTATTATCACCCCTGTTTATTTTTTCCCCCAAATTCTGTTTAATGGAGGGAAGATTGTTTTAACACATTTCTAAGCATAATAGTTTTAAAAACCTATTTCTAATAACTGATTTATTTTATCTTTGCCATGATAACAGTAAATAATATTTTACTTGATATTTTTCAAGACACTTCTCTACAGCTTAAAGTGACATTTAAAGGCTAGGTTAATAAGGTGAATCCGACTGGTTAGGGTTATTAGGCAAGTTATTCTATAACGATGGTTTGTTCTGTACACTATCGAAAAAAAAATTAGCTTAAAGGGGTTAATAATTTTATCCCAAAAATAGTTTTTAAAAAATTCAAAACTGCTTTTATTCTAGTCGAAATAAAACAAAGAAGAAAACATATTATCAGACATACTGTGAAAATTTCCGTGCTCTTTTTAATACCATTGGGGAAATATTTTAAAAAGAATTAAAAAATCAAAAGGGGGCTAATAATTCTGACTTCAACTTTATACAAAAACATCAGATATTATATTATTATTTATTATTAATAATATAATATTTTATTTTATTATATTATATTAATGTTGTTTTGTCCATCTTTTTTTAGGGCGATTCAGGAAGTCCTCTTATCTGCAATACTAAACCACAAGCAATTGCTTCATATACTGTGAAAAAAGACTGTTTACATACACATCCTCAGGTTTTCGTAAAAATCTCCTGCTTCCTTCCTTGGATTAAAAAGAATATGGTTTAAATATATCATTTAAAGGTGTAGGTTTTTGCTTTCATACCATATTTAGCTTTTGTAACCCCGCATCTGACTGTGTTGGGATTTTATTCATGTTGCTACTTTAAAATTGTAAATAAAGATTATTGATTACACATTGCATTAATTCTTCGGTGTGGGTTTTAATATAGTTCATGACGGGGATCTTGTAGCCATTGACTTTTATATATTAATTTTTCTTACTATGACTTCTCCCTAATAGTTCATGTATCTTCTTAATATCTTTTTTAGAGTTCAACAGAAGAAAGAAACTCAAAGGTTTGGAACCACTTGAGGTTGAGCAAATAGAGAGTGAATTTTTATTTTGGGTGAACTATCCCTTGAAGGTTTGAGTCAAGAGAGGGAGAAAATTCAACCAGGGAGAGTGTGCTTTTCTAAGTGCAGGCTGTTGAACTTTGGTTTGTTACACTTTTTTCTTCTTTTTATTTTTTGGAGTGTGAGATAATGTCCATTCATTCTTTTTGACAACTAAAGAGACTGTTCTCCTTGCTTCTCTAGTGTGCTTCTCTAAATGCACAAGTACAGGCTGTTGAACTTTGGTTTGTTGAACTTTTTGTCTTCTCATTTCTTTGGATTGTGAGATATTATCAATTTCTTGTTTTTTCATTCACTCTTCATTTATCTAATAAATATTCACGTGTATGGTTCAATCATATACACCGAAGCAAAGTTGGTAGGCTAATTTAATACTTCATTAAATATTTCAGATTGCCAATGAAAACACCTGACCAAATACATATAAGTTGTAAGGATATGTCCAAAAAAGGACAGGAAAATTACAGTTAAAGAATGTGATTACTTTGACAATACATTACAAGGTTTTTGACAACTGTTTATTTATCTGGTAGATGAATACCTGAGATGATATTCATACACCGAAGCAAAGTTGGGGATTTAACATAAAATCAAATATTTCAGACTGCCAATAAAAACACCTGATGTAAGGAAATGTCCTACACAGGACAGAAAAATGCCTGTACAGAATGTTGCTGACTGGGGTATTAATTATCCAAGTGAAAGTGCATCAAGGCTGCTGTCTTGTGACATAGAAACATTCTCCAAAAAATCTTCAAAAGATGTGAAGTGCCACAAAACAACTAAACAAAACATTCTAAACAATCATAGGGGAAGCATTAACTGTTGATAATCTCCTAACAAGGCCATACATTAAGATATTAATATAATAAGGTATTAAGATTCTCTAAATGAACATGTTGCAAATTGGAAAAATGAACAGGAATTAAGATACAACTTTAACAAGCACTAGATTTTGTCAAAGTGACTTAAGGCAGAGAATTTCTGAAATGGCCCTGGTCAGCAGTAGTGTGAAAAGTGGTCAGAGGGACAGACACAAATCGGCAACATTTGTTGGGCATCGAAGGCTCACCAATATACAAGAGTAATGACAGCTATCCCACCTGGACTGATAAAGCAGAAGCTCTTCTAGGTCTACTGTGGCAAAAGGAGACCGAAAACAATTTAATAATGGATAAGGTAGGCCCTGTCACAACACTGCACATCGTTGTCTGGAGTGTGGCACCTACTATGAGGACACAATCATCAGAACTGGATCTCAGAGCAGTGGAAGAATTCCAGGTTTGGTAAGTACCATTTCCTTATAAATCATGTAGTATGTGATGGCACCAGGACACACTTGTGTAATGCTCTGGGCATATATTTGGCCTGGGTCCATTTATTTACAATGAGGTATATTTGACATACGCCGCCTACAGAAGATACATATTAATGACAATGCTGTTGGAGGAAGTGGTTTCTTTCAGCAGTACAATGCACTCTGCCACACTGCACTCATTGTTTGGGGATTTCTGAAGAACATTTTAATCTGTTGAAATGGTCTGCAAATGTCAGATCTTCTACTGAGCATCTGTGGGGTGTGCTTGATCAACATGCAGCTTGTAGGACTGTAGGAAGAACTGCTTGAACGTCTTAGTCAAGATACACATGACATTTTCTGTGTCTTATAGAGTCTATACCTCAATGGGTCAGTGCTTTTTTAGCAGGGCACAGACCAACAGACTTGTTTCAGTTCATCACTAGTGTAGAATAACATGGTATATAGTGTCAAAGAAGACCCAAACAGTTTATTCGAATGTATCTTTATATACTTTTGTCTTATGTAAAGAGTTCTGTACATGCACAGTATTAACAGCTTGCTAATATAGCAAAGTCCTGTACTTTAATTATTTTTATATTACAAAGAATGATGACAAAAACTTTTAATTAATGACAATATGATTTCCTTCTTTTAGATGCCATCTTTCCTGAATGACTCTATGACAGATAAACTGTTTTGATTACCTTTACCAAAGAAAAAAAACAGGGTCCCTGTCACCTCAGTACAAGCAGTAAACACGAGAAGTACAGTAAATAGGTATGTTCCAATGTAGTGTTATTGTGATGCAGGATATCTCTAGGTTTGCTAATTGTAGATTTTAAACTGTGATAGAACCTTGAGTTCATATTTTTTAACCTTTAGTATAAAAAAAATCTCAGAAAATGAGATACAAGTGATTTTAAAAACCAAACAAATATTTTTGTCATTGTAAACCAGTTAACGTTAAACTGATCGCCCTATCTGTAAAATAACATAATAAGAAAGAAATATTTATATGCTATTTCAGATTACCAACAGAATTTAACCCACCAACCAAAATTAAATGTGTACACTCAATCACTGTGCAGACTCTTGAAATTAAAGCGCCTCCTGTCTGTGAAGCTCTGCATCTACAGAGAAAGCAAAATATTAAAGCATGACTCTACATTATAATTGTGAATGAATTACATGTACAATCTGTTAACCTGTAAGACATTCTCACCTGGCTAGGGTCTCTTGTAAAGTATCTTTTCTCTATTACCTTAAAAAGAGAGAGGAAAAATGTGAAACTCAATGTATATGTTGATAAAGAACTACAAAGATATAGATTCACTATGAGTGATGCACTCTCAATACATCTCTACCTTATCAAAGAATCGACTCAATTTAACAGCATTTGATGAACCAGCAGCAAGATACCGTGGATTTGTACAATCCTGAGAAGAAAAAAAAACAAAAAAAATGTTTGAACTCTTAAAAGGACAAGTTTTAATCCATGTTATGATATTAGTTTAGATAAAGCTTAGATTCTGAGAGCACTAAAAAGCACACACCAGGTTGATCTCTTCCGCGTTGAAGTCTTCAGATAGAAAGGCAGTTCGGGTCAGGACATCGTTCCTCTTGTTTTCTGGGATCTGATCAAATTTGGTGCCAATTAGCAGAAGTGGAACAGCGTTCTCTGCAAACTGTTCTCTATCGTAATCACTGAAAGATCAAAGTGTCATCATCTTATTTTAACATCTTATTTATTTTGACATTCACTGGTCCTCAAAAATAAATTAGAAGTAACTGGATGACTTGGATAAATGGATATCTTGTCATTTTCTGTCACAAATATAAAAATACAGCATATTCTTACAGTCAACATTTTATTCTATATAACTACTGTGGCAGAAACGTACTAATATATTCAATTAGTTAGATTTTTTTTTAAACTTTTAATCAAAACATTTGAATCATTTGGGCCCCTTAGACATTCTGTTGATTAGTAACTTTGCAAGCACCTATTTTCTAATGAGTGTTAATTAATGTAGTTACAAAGCAGAAGTTGACGCTGACTCACCCGTTGGATACGATGATGCCAGTTGGAGAGGAGTCCTTGCTCAGTGCCTCTAGTGACCAGCGGTATAGATTCTGGGAGGACTTCTTGTTAGTCAGATCGTGAACTAAAATGATACCTGGAAGTTAAAAAAGACAGCGGCTTAGTATCAATTAAGTCATCACAAATACTCCAGATTTTTTTTTGCCCTGTATGTACATAATAGTGCTTCAAAACCACAATATGTATTAAAAAATTATTTTTATTGCAATAATAGTATATTAAATATCCATATCACGGAGAGGAGTGATTAAGTTACATTTATATTACGTGCCAAGCATTAGTGTAAAGCATGAGTAGGTTGTTTATACAGATTTGACCAATCAGATAAGGCCACCGTATTTTAATATCTGCTTACCCAGTTGGTGCAATCATGCTATTTGATAGACTGAACCCAAAAGTAAACCTAGTGCCTCAAAGCAGAAAAAATACGAATAGTGGGAGAAGTAGTTAATACTTGGGATTTATTTGAATATTTTTCAAGGTTTTCAGAGTTTTAAATTCTAGTAGTTAGTAGTTTTATAATAGTTTTAGCCTGAATTAGATTTAATTAGATCAGAAAAATTGTTAAAACAGATTATTAAAATTGCATTGGGAAATGTTAAATCACAATTAATTTTGTTACAATACTCAACAACATCATATATTTTCATATTATCATACAGCTCTGGTGCACATTTAAATAGGCATGGGACAATAACCGTTTTCAAGGTATACTGTGGTTTGGAAAAGTCGCGGTTTTAAAACCACCCTAATTTTCTGCTATACCGTTCCTATTGTATATTTAAGATGTTTTATTTTCGTTTTAATTTTTTTAGGACAACAGTATCTCCAGCAGAAAAGATCTCAAATGATGCCGTTTTAAATTGTAATCAAATCTGTGTTTTTGAAACTAATGAAGACAGCAGAAGTCCAAGATTCATTTGAATTATTTAGCCTGACAAGTTTACTGTAACAATATATTTTAAAAGTTTCTCGTAATAAAATATATTGTGTTCAAAGGGGAACACTAATACTTAACCATTAACTGAATTGTAAAACACAGCTCTGGTGCTTTTAACACTGCTGGCACTGCCAACAGATCCTCCAACATCCCAGAGTTCAATGTAGAAAGCCTTCTCTTCTGGAGTGCCTTCTCTGTAGTCATGAACCTGTCCAAAGAATCAAGACTCACTTTGTCATTTTCCATAGCTTTGTGAATTGAAATGAATCACTTTTAATTGACATTATACCCTGACGTCCACTGAGCAGCCCACAGTCCATGAGGGATTCCCCAAAACCTGATTCTGGCAAAGAAGGTGTACAAGAGAGGACTTCCCTACTCCTGTAAACAGACAAACAACACTGATCAGGACAGGATTATTGATGTTCATAATAATTTATTTTACGATTAAAAATACAATTAGATAAAGTTCCCCCTTTTTCACAAAATTAATGAATCTTGATAATAATAATTAAACAACGACTACTAATAAATAAAACGAATATAATATTTCAGTCTCAGCTATGATGTGGTAGCCAACACATAACGTTAGCTTGAGTGTAATATTACATGACGTTACAATATAAATGTGCATTGACATTATATTAAGTAGGTTAACACAAAACAAGGTCGATAGATTATTTTGATCATGTTTATTACCAGAATCTCCCAAAACCAGCACTTTCACCCTGTCCAAAGATGCCATTTCTATACGGAAGTGTAAACTTAACGTTACGTGCATGACAAAATAAAAGTTGCATATATACGTGAAAGAGTCACTGAGCTAAAATACTGAAGAGAATTCTACATAGATCTGTGGATATAGTACATAAAAGTTATTTAAATTAGACCATGTTTAACGTCAATTAAATGTATTTATATAAACTAAAGTTATATTTAAATCATATTAAATAATTGTTCTTGTGTGATTTGTTGTCGAATTTGAAATATTGCTTGCATTTAATGCCAACATGGCTTGGGCTACTAATATAATATAATATAATATAATATAATATAATATAATATAATATAATATAATATAATATAATATAATATAATATAATATAATATAATTAATACAATATAACGATGTTTGCTTCGACTGACTTTTATAACACTTCCTTTCTGAACCTGGGCGGGGATTTGTGACAGAGCAGGAAGAGGCTTTTTGATAGACATCACAGAAAGCCGGTGTGTTTTACTGGACTTCTGAAGGAAACAAGGACCCATGGCTATTAGAGGAATGAAATTGTCGAGTGTCTGTTTTCTGCTTTTATATTTGATACTGACCGTATTTGCAGGGTAAGTGAATATCGTATGGTTTTCGCGTTAGGGTTTAGTTCATTACACTAACTCAGTACTCTGGCTGGTACACATGTTTCACTGTGATTGGTCTACGCCACTGTCCGTGCATCGTGCTAGTGAAGCTCACCAGAAACGACTTCACATTATGTCCTTTATTTCTTGTACTTCAATGCAGAGTTTTAACACCCTGGTTGTTGTTTTGTTTTGTTTAAAATTCGACGCTTATTGTTTAAAACGACTAATAATTGCTGTAATGAAGCTGCCAACTCCTCTGTGAATCTGCATGTTTATGTAACTGTCATATTTATTCCAGGAATATCTGAAGCTTCGTGTTGTTGATTGTATTGCTTTTTTTGGTCATGATGTTAAATGATTAGACACCAGTATCCACGGCTGTTTCTATTCATCAGTATCCTTAAATTAATGAATGGATTGGTGTGTGGTTCAACGTACTTCTGAATTCCTGTTTGTTTTCAGGAGGGATTTCTACAAAATTCTAGGGGTTAGTAGATCAGCATCAGTCAAAGACATTAAGAAAGCCTACAGAAAGTTGGCATTGCAGCTTCATCCAGACAGAAACCAAGATGACCCAAATGCCCAAGACAAATTTGCAGACCTTGGAGCTGCTTACGAGGTAAGCCATTTTATTCAGAGATCGTTTTAACAAGTCATTTTAACTGGAATCTGCTTTTGTTGTAATTGTTACGCTTCATGTGTTGAACAATGCTAATTTCTTCACTCGGTAATATAGGTGTTAAAATGGTCTATTGTGTAATGACGACTTGGTTAGTCTTGCGAACAGTATTCGTAGCTTTAATACAGATATCTAAATTGATGATGTTTTGCGTCCCTATTGTCATATATCATATTTCCAAATCAGAACAAAAGATCAGTACAATCCCCACTGAAATGAATATGACCAGCATGAGCGTTGTTGTTAGAAACGAATCCATGGAGCTCTCTGATTTGTTAGAAGAATTGTGTGGCCGCCTCTGATTGGTTGACACATCTGCTTTTTCTTATTCATTTCATGTGACGTGTAGCGTGTAATAATATACAATGTGTGCAAAATTAAATTGTTACACAATGTTTTTATTTTATTTTAAAAAATGTAGCTCAATTCAATATTATGTTAAGGTGAATTTATTATTTTATTTTCATAAATCAATCAAATATTATATTATGCAACAATTTCACAAAAAAATTGTAATATATATTCACGATTTAAAGTAAAATATTATGACTAATGTTAAATATTCTATAATATATATTCTAAATATTAAAGATTCTAAATATTATATAAGGCTGCACGATATTAGAAAAATTTAACACTGCATTATTTTGTTATGCTTTTGGCCATATATTGCGATATTTTATATATATATATATATATATATATATATATATATATATATATATATATATATATATATATATATATATATATATATATATATATATATATATGTGTGTGTGTGTGTGTGTGTGTGTGTATATATATATATATATATATATATATATATAAACACACACACACACACACACACACACATATATATATATATATATATATGTATATATATATATATGTATGTGTGCTAAATATGCTAAAGTGGGTTGTATATTCAGTTGTAAACAAAATTGAAAGGTACAACAACTACATTAGGGCGGCAGATGTTGTCTGTTAATAAAAATAATCGATCTCTTATGTTGCTTTAGTCCAGGGGGGCCAAAAACTAAATTTGATTGAGACTAGTGGGTCAGAGGTAAATGTAGTTGCTAGGGTAATTTCCTAATTTATTTAATAATATTTCAAAATAACTTGAAAATTTGTTTATTACAGTAAAAACTAAACTTTTATTACAGAATTACACCAGTTTTTGCCTTGATTTGCTTGCCGATTTCTTCTACATAGTTCTCTGTCTAGTGACAGTATTTACATTTAAAAGCTCAGATTCATTTACAACATTTAGTTAAAACATTTAATTTCTGTTTGCTTTTTTGTAGCTCAGCAATAAATCAAATGAAAAAGGTCATGCTAAATTAGAAATGACGATCTTGGTGTTAAAAGCATTTGCCCTAACCCTCTCCATCCTTCTCTATCTCCTCTCAGTTGGGATGGTGGGCCAAATCAAAGTTTACAATGGGCCAACTTTGGCCTGCATGCCCTACTCTGGGCATTCTTACTTTAGTCAGTTCATCATGCATAAAATATAATTTTTTTTTTTTTTTTTGAACGCAGGTACTTTCAGATGAGGAGAAAAGGAAACAGTATGACGCATATGGAGAGGAGGGATTAAAAGAAGGCCATCAAAGTTCACATGGTGATATATTCTCCAGGTAAACAGATCTAAAATATTAAGACCTCTATAAGAAACTGCTGAGATGTTTGTAAATTTTCTCAAACTCTATATCATTAATGAATCACATGATGAATCTAGTTTTAGAAGCATGACTGTTTGAAACAAAAACATTACCACTGCACACTTTTAATTCACAGTATGTGTGGCTGCATTGATGAAATGTTTTTTTTTCCTCCCCTTAAGTTTCTTTGGCGACTTTGGATTTATGTTTGGTGGAAATAGACAGCCAGCTGGCAGAGATATTCCAAGGGGTAATGACATTGTACTGGACCTTGAAGTAACATTAGAAGAGGTGTATTCAGGGAATTTTGTGGAGGTGAGCTTCTTGTTTTTCTTGAACTTTCTCCATTTCCATTCTGATGTACTGCTGTATTTAGGTAGTCACGTGGAAGTAGATGCTCTTCATAATCTCCTTTCCTTTTTCCTGTCCTTCTGTTTCCTCTCTTTTTCAACATGTAGGTGGTACGAATCAAACCGGTAGCAAAAGAAGCTCCAGGCAAAAGAAAATGCAACTGCCGGCAAGAAATGAGAACAACACAACTCGGACCGGGTCGCTTTCAGATGACACAGGAAGTAGTCTGTGATGAATGCCCCAATATTAAGTGAGTTTTCAAAGTAGCCTTTGTCACTTTGGTTTTATTTTCATATGGTATTTATTAATTTTAAAGTGATCTGGTCATAAATGGTCAACAAAGATGCAATACTGTTTCCACCTTGTTTGGTTTGACTACTTGTGTTAGATTTTTCTACAAGGCCATTTCTTATTTTATGTTTGGTGCAGAGTGTACTTGAATCTACAAATCTATCTTACATGGCATGTAGAGCTGCATAATTGGGAAAAAAAAAATTAATTATTGTTAAAACTATTAACTTAATTAAAACCCTCACCCGATCTTAATACTACATTTTTAATGATGAGAATTTTTTAGTTATTGAATTATTCATTCAGAAAGACTTTTTAAAAATAATAATTAATGTTTTAGTAATATAATATTTATAAAATAGATTAATATCTAGATTAAATTAGTTGTAGTTAGTAGCAGTACTGATGAGTGAGCAGGAAAACAAACGAACGAAAAGGATGTGGATCACAACCACAATTTAAATAATCAATTTGCTTTTTGGACATCAAATTAGGAAATCTTAATTTAGGTACACTTTCTCATAACATTTTACATAACAATCACATATGGAGGATTTCCACTTATGTCAAAATGACCCATATTCTGTTGATACTAAGATACTTGAATAACTTTATAAACATGGATTGGTTATCGCATAACTAAAGTTGTTCTGATTATGTAAGCTGTCTAAACCACAGGAAGAAATGCATGGAAGCTACTACTAAATAACATATAGAAGTACTTGGTGGGCAGGAGAGGATGCAATAATTTGACAAAGTGAATTCAATACATATGAGCAGTTTAATATTTTAGTTACTTGACTGGAAATGATAAGAACAAAGGCGACAGTTGTGACAGTTGTTGGTTTAGTTTATCCGACCATAAACACGTTTTGTTCGTTTTTTTTTTCTCTCTTTTCCTTGATTTGTTGTAACTTTTGGTTGGCTATATTCATCTAAATGTTTTTTTCATTCTGACCAATTAGTACACCCCAATAATTGACCATATTTAGCAGCAGTCATAAACAAAATATGCTAGTTTTGTTTGGTTCAAATGCACTGTTTACATTCTGTGCCTCCAATATGGCTGACTCTCGAAAACACTATTAAGTCTGTAGGCAGTCATTTGAAATGGTCAAAGCAAACGTGACCAAATGCGCATTGACACTGAAAACAATCAAGTCTAATGCATTTCCAACTACCTCTGGAATTGGTCAAAAGCAAACGATCTTAATCTCTTTTAGAGTCCACAACGTGTGATTGGACCAAACAAGTGTTAATATCAGGGGTAAACAAAGGCCTTTGATTTACCAAATCTTTATTTTTATTTAATATTAAATTAAACACTGTATGTTTATTTCCAGACTTGTGAATGAGGAGAGAACACTAGAGGTGGAGATCGAGCAGGGTGTGCGAGATGAAATGGAGTATCCTTTCATCGGAGAGGGTATTGAAGCTAATTCTGTGGAAGATTCAATGCAGTGGCATTTACTTTTAAGAGTTTGCTAGATGCTGCTGCAACATATTTACTGACTGTATGTGTTGTTTGACTGACTACAGGTGAACCTCACATTGACGGTGAGCCTGGAGATCTGCGTTTCCGCATCAAAGTTTTAAAGTAAGAATAATGTTATGTTATTTCTATAAGAGTTAATTGACATTTTATTTAATGTGTTTATGATGCATTCAGTTAAACCTTTATTTAATCTCTTCAGTTTTGTTTTGAAGTTGGATGTCTTGAACTGTGTTTTTAGTTTATCACATTAAATAAATTTGTGCTTGTCTAGGCATCCAGTGTTTGAGCGCAGAGGTGACGACCTTTACACAAACGTCACCATCTCTCTGGTAGAGGCTCTGGTCGGTTTTGAGATGGACATCACTCATTTAGATGGCCACAAGGCATGTCTCCCTTTCCCAACACTATATTTTTACTGATTTACTATTGTTATTCTTGTTGTATTTTTTCAATTATTTATTTTTGCTTGATTATTTGTTTTTGGTTAATATGATTTTAATGCACTGGTGAAAAAAAAAATGTTGACCTATATAAATATTAGATATTAAAATATCTATTTAATTTGAATTTTATCAGGACTTTTACAATCATATATTTATTGAAAAAGGAAGAAAACTATAAACTATATTTTAATAGAATGTATAAATTATTAGATTGGAATTTGAAGGGAAATGTTTGAAAAGGTTTCTCCTTGAGAAATTTTTGAAAATGTATCTTGATAAAGTCATTTGTATGTTGTATACTTGTATGTTTATTTGTACAATGCATGATTAACAGTCAATGATTATAAATTGCTTATAATTGTAAATTATATATTTGTAAATTATATATTGAATACTTGGTGGGCTTATAGCCAATCCTGTTGATATAAAGAAATAAATTTAATATGAATGTCATTAAATATCTATTTTAAAATGTCATTTATTCCTGTGATTACAGTGTTGAATTTTCAGCAACCATTATTTAAGTATTCAATGTCAAATGGTCCTTCAGAAATGATTATAATAAAATATTATTTATTTCTTTAAACAATAATAATTATTTTATTATTTTTTTGTCTACAAAAGCTTTAAGAACATAATTTATTTGGAATATAAATATTTAACATTATCTTGTTAACATTATTCATTCTACTGTCTTTTTTTATTAGTGTAATGCATCCTTGTTGAATAAATGTTCATTTAAACAAAAAAGAGAGCGGTCTTACTTGCCCCAAACATTTAAATGTAGTGAATGTGGTTTTACTCAAATATGAAGCTGAACAACTCTGATCATATGTTGAAAATAATGTAAATCTTGAAATGTTAATTTCTGGAGGAATCATCATGTGACACAGCAGTCTCTACATAAAAAACACAGTAGAAAATAGTCCTGTTAAATTTGCAATAATGTTTGTAATGATATTTTTTATAGAACTATATTATGCTCTGTATTTTTCATTTAATGTATGTAAACTTTGTACAGATGTTTTGGTTGATAACAATCACATCCAATTCTGCATCTCCTATGTCTCAAATAAGACTCCTCACAAACTCTTCTTGTGTTCTTGCAGGTGCATATTGTCAGAGATAAAATCACTAAACCAGGATCTCGTATTTGGAAGAAGGGTGAGGGCCTACCAAGTTTTGACAACAACAATATTCGTGGATCGCTCATAATCACCTTTGATGTAGATTTTCCCAAGGAGCAACTTGATGACCAGCAGAAAGATGGTAAGAGAACAGTTGACTTTTGGTCTATTATTTTATATAGAGAGACTGTAGTCTTAAAAATTACATATGAGGTGTTTAAAAAATATTCTGCTATTTCTGAGTTAATAAATTCTTTCTTTCCATTTTTCTCCAGGTATAAAACAGCTTTTGAAACAGGCACCATCTCAAAAGGTTTATAACGGACTACAGGGATACTGACAGACTAGCCAAGTAAATCAGGACTGAATGCGTGAACCTTTCTGCCCTACACACACACACACACACACACACACACACACACACACACACACACACACACACACACACACACACACACAAATTCAAATGCACACAGAGGAACAAGCAATGGGGTGTATTTATTTTTCATATTGTTCTCAGGAAGGGTTGACGTTAAAGTTTTTATTTTTTTTTATGATTTCTTTTTCCTGATTTAAGTTTTTAAATGCCTTGTTTTGTCATAAAAAGTAGTTTTATTTGACCCCCCCAAAATGATAACTTTCTCTTTATATGGTCCACAGTTTCAGTAAGTAGTTTAAAACCTTTTTCATCAGTTGAATGTTTGAATGCTACTTTTCTGTTCTGACCAGTCAACCACCATCCACTCATGGATCAGCATAATGTTTAGTGCCAGTTGATTTGAGACCTGCAGCAGCAACAACAGAAAGAAAGAAAGAGGACTGAAACTTCAAACCAGAGGACAATTTAAATACCTGCAACTCAAGAACTTACTCTCCAAGTCTTTTAAAAAAAGAAACAATTATTTGAACGGAAGTTCACTGAACGTTCTCAATTTAGACTCTTCAGTCTTTGGTCCACTTGTTTTAAGGAACAAATTTATTACGGTTGTTGCAGCTGGTGTTTTTGTCCTCACCAAGCTGCAAATCCTGTTTGTTTGTTTGTGTGTATTGCTCCACTACTGCCTGGTTCAGATTTGCCGCCTGGATACAGATTCAGTTTCCTCTAAGGCACTTATTTGGTTTTTGAAGTTCCAACAGAAGACCTCTTTAACTGTACAGTTCAACTCTTTCCTGTGATTTATTTTTTATCATTTTTTTATGTGACGGATTCACTTTCATGTTTCTTTAACAGCCCCTCCTGATGTTCGGTCCATTAGGTCTGTTTCTAGTTAGTCATTTTCCTTTGCTCTTTGTGGACTGCACCAGACAAATCAGAACAACTTAGGATAACTTGTGCACTAGTGAAGGAAATATCATCTGCCATATTCAAAAGAGAATTAAAAGTTTATAATTATGGTTAAAAACTGACTTTATAAGAGACAAGAGTATTTTGTGTTTGTACAAATGTTTTTGAAAAATGGGTTTGACGTTTTGAACTACACTTTTTGTTATATGATAGTGGGTGGCATGGTGGCTCAGTGGTTAGCACTGTGGCCTCACAGCAAGAAGGTTGCTGGTTCGAGTCCTGGCTGGGTCAGTTGGCATTTGTGTGTGGAGTTTGCATGTTTTCCTTGTGTTGGCGTGGGTTTCCACCGGGTGCTCTGCTTTCCCCCACAGTCCAAAGACTGAATTGGGTAGACAAAAAAAAAATTGGCCATAGTGTATGTGTGTGTGAATGCATTGCAGTATTGGAAGGACATTTGCTGCGTAAGATATGCTGGAATAGTTGGTGGTTAATTCTGCTGTGGCGACCCCTGTTAAATAAGTTACTAAGGAAATGAATGTTTATAATAGTCAACAATGTCAATTATTAGCTAGTTAGGCAAGCAGTAACTGACATGTCCAGCAGAGGGCAGCAAATGATACAAGAATGATACAAGAATGAAGATACAAACACTAGTTAACATTTCAAGCAGATCAACCTTTAAGATGACAAAATGTATTGTTTAATACACCTTTTGGGTTTCAGGACTATCAGAAACCTGTCGGAAAATATACAAAATGCACCCTAAATATATGCTTTTAAAAATTTTATTTACAATACGAAAATGATTGTCACCCTCAAGTGGTTCCATAGCTTTAGGTTTCTTCTATTGAACACAAAAGAAGATATTTTGAAAAATTTTAGAAACCTAAAACCATTCACTTCCATAGGCAATTATACATTTTCTTTTTTAATATCTTATTTTTGTGTAGCGAAGAAAAAACAGGATTGTGAAGGGTGAGGAAATGATAGATTTTTTCTTTTTGAATGAACAAACTCTTTTACACTACTGAACCAACAAATTTTTAGCCAACAAAGCTAATTGCTAACAACAAGCTTTGTTTAGCTAAAAGTTAAGAAGTTCTATATACATGTATACAAATATATTCCCCTAAATGAGAGCAAATCTATGTCTGCGTGTGGGTGTTTATATAATTAATTACTAATATTTTAATTAGCTAGAAGACATACAATTGTAAGAAACCTTAAGTTAAACTAAATGGAGTTGAAAATCTGCAGTGCAAACCCACATTTGTTTCACATAACTCCGACATACTTGGAAGAGAGTTATTAATGCCCACATTATAGGATGCATTAATTACAGCTCATTACGGATCAAAGGCCTCTGCTGTCTTTAATCATGCGGTGGAATCCCACCCAGCTTCATCAGACATGCTGTGAAAGCCTTGTGCGCATGTGACCTTTTGGTGAAGAAGAAGCTCACTAAGCGCACATATACAGAGATTACTGTTTTGCCTGATAATAGTGTGTGTGTGGTGTCATTCAGAGTTGAATGTGAGACTGCAGCTTGTCTGACACAGAGTTCACCCGTTAGCGTAGTGGTTGTGACCTCTGACTGCGCTGCAGGTGGTTTTACTTAAGCAGTGTTGGAGGCCTGAAGTGGAGGAACTGTATCGCTGAGTCAGGCCTGAGCTTCACTCTGCATGTCCGGGACTAGAGGACGGGTGGTCGCCCAATTGGGGAGGTCGTCTGACAGGGTGTTGCCTGGAACTATTAGAGGCATCTGTTTGTCTGACTGTTTTACTGTGTGGTTTTACATGATGTGAGTATATCTATGAGCCTGTGTGTGTGAACACTGTACACATGTTGGTTAGATGCAGTGACAAGGATGAAGAGAATTTATTTTAATGTAAAGGGCAGTCAAACCAAATGTGTATGTGAATGTCATGAGCGTTTGTAATTAAAAGGATGAAACGGGGTGTTTCCTCGAGGGTCCTGTAAGCAGGGCAAAATGTGTATGTGTGGAGTATATGGGGGGTCTCTCTCTTTCAAACATCTCCTTAGCATCTGCTCTGAAGAGTCATTCCTTCACCCCACAAACTCCAAGCCACAGACGTCTCCATTTACTCTGCTATTTACCCTGCTTTAGGTTTCCTTCAAATCATTTTAACCAAGACTTATGCTCCTCTGCCTCCGTTTCCCCTCCCAAATAGTCTCCAGAATAGATTTTTGGTTGACGGCTCTTGCTCGATGTACAGTATGAATGTTTTGAACTCCCACAATGATATTAATACTTCAGAAGGGGGTGTTTCTACTGGTGGTCCACCGCATGTCCTAAGAGATCCTGAATTTGGGTCGCTTGAATCTGCTCTCAGACCGACTGATTTAATAAGTGTTGGGCACTTTTGGAAAATATATCTTTAAGCGTAAATTGATGTGTAATCTTGTTTATCCTTATTATAGCTAACAAATTAAACACCTTATCTTGCAGTTATCTAACAAATGAATGAATTCATCTGAAACTAACTGCAGACAATGCTATATTCACCATCAAGTTTCAAAGCATTAGCAGCAGTCTTTTAGACAAAGCACAAAGAAAGTCACAATTTGGACTAGTAAAAAAATGTTTTTTGATTGTTGATTCAAAACCTTTTAGTTTTCTTGTTTGTTTTGAATACAAAACAGGTCTAGCCTATGGCATATGTTTTGAAGAATGTTGGTAGCCAGTAGGGAGAGTGGGGACATTTCCTTCAGTTTCTCTGAGACAGTTTTTTGTCGAAACCCAAAATTTTAATATGATAAACCCACATCTATTGGACACACAACTACATCGCTATAATATGAGTACATATAATAATATGCAGGATTTAAACATGAACGGACAAAGTCAAAAGTTGCAACTGACCCCAAGCAGGGGGACAGTTGCAACATTCACTAAAATGTAATAATTAAAAAAAAAATTTAAACATCAGATTTTATTTATTTATATATTTGGTAAACAGACAAAATGTAAATTGGTTAAATTGTTAAATGTGTTAAATTAGCCATATAAATAAAGACTATTAAAAGATCAAGCAACAATCAATTATCAAGCCTAAAAAAAACTGAAAAAAAAAAAAAATCTTTTTTCAGAAAATCTAGACTGAACCTTTACAAAGCTACTTCTTTGAACTTTGAAAGGATAATTATTTCATTTCAAAGTTCAAAGCTCAAGTTTCTTGTTCTTTTAATAGTCTGAATTTTATGTCAAATAATTAATTTTAATTAAATCACATTGAAACTGTGATAAAATTAAAATTGTACATTACAGCTTTTAAATTAATTTTGTAAATGGGAACAGTTGCAACAGCATGTCCCAACTCTATCAACCCTGATTAAACTGTCTGCCAGGGAGAAACAATAGCTTTAACATTTAGCTATATATATTTAAAGCTAAGAAAAAGTTATTTAAATCATATAAATGAATAACACAAAATTGAGAAATATTATGAGAAACATTGAGAAATTTTCTGAACGTAAAAAAATATATTTATATTTATTTATGCATTTGTTTTTTACCTAAAAATGAGTTTGATACTGAAGGAATGGTCACATATGGCTGATTTCTCTCAGATTGGAGTGTCTAACTGAACTGAGAATATGTTGCAACCATCCCCACTCTCCCAAAAACAATGCGAGTCAATGCCCATCATTGATCAACGTTCTTCAAAACACCTTCTTTTGTGTTCAGCAAATTAAATCAAATACGTTTGAAAAAAAATGACTGAGGAATTTAAGCTTTAGGCTTTTAGTTTAAGAAAATGTGTGAAGGTCGTCTCAATTCACTGTGAGATTCGTGATTCATTTCAGTGAATCAATCAAGAAGGAATCGGACTGATCTGATTCGTAATGATTTCGTTAACTCAACCGTCGCAGTAGTCATTCTTTTCTTTTATTACTGTCATATTCTCCTCTGCCACACAGATATCTGCAGTCACACAGGTTTGTAGATGCTTTAAAAATGATCAGTGATCGGTTTTTAATGTTTGATTGAAGTTCTCTCCTAATGTTTTTTTTTTTCAACAGACATACAGTTTACACAAAAGTTTCCTCACGAGGGCAGTGTTCTCTTCTTCGTGTGGGATTGAAGGACGCAGATGTAAAGCACCGCTGAGATGAGATGAGGTCTGGGAACACGCCTATACACACTCCTTTTGGGAACAGTTTTTCAACAGATTTTTGAGGTTCTAAACAGTTCTGTCAGGCCGTAGATTTTAATGACACAATTATAGGGGCTTCCGCGCGGTCCTGGGTCAAAGCCAGCACTTCCACTCACCCGGATGTTGCTGTATGGTTTGGTAATGGTTTAATAGATTTAATTAGTTAAATTTCACCGTTTTTTGCTAATGTTGAGTAAGAATCAGGATGAAGTGTTTTTCTTTTTTATTTAGACCAACCTTTAAAGGGATAGTTCACCCAAAAATTAAAATTTTGCCATTTACTCCCATTGGTCAAAACCTGTTTGAAGTTCTTTCTTGTTGAACACAAAAGAAGATGCTTTGAATAATGCTAGCTGCTGGGACCTGTAAAGTCCAGATCAGATACACACCTGGCCAGAAGTGCGATATGCACATCATTATCGTAGTATTTTTTGACACTGCATAAATGAATATTTTACAATACTGTGATGGTTGGGTTTAGGGTTGTGGTTGGGGTAGGCAATAAAAAATACAATTTATTGGGTAATTTAATAGATAGCATAAATAATACTCGGCACAACTACTGTTTTTACATTACTGTAATGGTTGGGTTTAGGGTTGGGGTGGGAGTAGATGTTAATAAAATATAATAAATGGGAAATTTAATAAATAATAAAAATAGTTCTCTTTAACTTCGGCCACAATCATATCTGATCTAGCAACAACCAGCATTCTTCAAAATAACCTTTTATGTGTTCAACAAAACAAAGAAACTCCTAAAGATCTAAAAACCACGTAAGTGAGAGTAAATGATGAGGTGAATTTCAGTTTTGAGTAAACTATTGCTTTAATACTAAATATGTTTTATTGTAAGGTAAATAGAGCCCATATAACTACAGATTTAGTAATTAGTTTAATAAAAGTAATAATTTAACATGAATGTGAATTTGTCAGTCATAATTATCTTTTATT